GATGGTTTTTTAAATTAATGAAAAATTATTTTTTTTAACTATCTGTTATTTTAGAAAAACTGATGATGGTGGAAAACACCGATATGTATTTTAATTGATAAATAGAGACAATAAATGACTGAAACCCAGGAATTAATTTTGCTTTGGAATTCCATACAACAACAACCGGCTTTCAATAAAGACATGTAATTGTCGTAGTAAGCTAAAAATGCCCGAATCGTTGATGCATGGAACTGTTGTGCTCATCTACATAAATCTTCAACTAAAAAACAGCAAGTTGTGTGCGACATGAATCTTGCGAGTACAACGTTGCTGAATGGGTAGACAGTAACTGTTCGACTCCTGTTTAAGGCATTTTGGTAGTGGCTTCGCTTCCCCTTTCAGTTGCCCCGTAGTGTCTAGTCAACTAACCAATAATCTACGCACCCTTCTTCTACTAACCCCAACAGGCATCAGCACTCGTACTCACATTACTTCGCGGACGCCCTCTAGTCATAAGTCGGAGAGTAGTCTGGACCATCCGAATCCACCGTTCGCTGAAAACCACATTCCCTCGCAGACCCAATCACATATCGATTTGGGTGCGTCGCCCCGACCAACCAGCCCCATGGAATACCCGAACGAACCCAGTCGGGCGCCCCCTAAACGGAAACTGTGGCAGCGCAGCGCTAGTTGTAGGGATTTGCATGATTTCAGCTTTGAGGAAACGGGCAAAGCTAAGCGTAGGGCCAAATCCGCCAAGCCTCTAGAGAAAGCGGCGGTGAGTCTGGATGAGCGCAAGCAGGACTCGCCGGTGACTGTTTACGACGATCATAGAGCTTTGTATATTGCTAGTTCGCGCGATAGCAGCTTAGAAATCCAACAGGACATAATGATTCCGACGGCCAAGATCTACTCGAGTAGCTTTCCTGGGACAACGTCCTACTCGCAGGAATCCGTGGAGGATCCGGGCAATTACGAGTTGCGCGACTCGCAGGAGGATTTGTCCCATGATAGCTACGAGTTGATTGAAAGGTCGGACGATAGCACATCGGGCGATTATAAGAAACCGAAAATTTTTAACACCAGAAGCTGCAGCCTGGACTCGGGCAACTACATCCCCTCGGACAGTGAGTCGGAGTGTGGAACTCGGCAGCGGTTCAAGAGCGTGAGCGACCACGACATTTTCCTGCTGGAAGACCCGCGGGACTTCCCGCGGGAAATCGTCCCTAGAAAGTCCGACGGCAGCTTTCTAAAGCACGTCCGGCAAACCTCCCGCACCTCCAGTCTGGAATCCAAGAGCGACTACTACGAATCAAAAATGTCCAGATCCAGCAGGGAGAGCCTCAAGCGCTCACGCGGAGTGGGCTCTAGAACCTCCAGTCAGGAATCCAAAAGCGACTACGACCAGAAGAAGCCCCTAAGAAAGAACAAAAGCAGCGACAGCCTGGAACGGCCCAGCAACCGATACTTCGAGTCCGGAGCATCGAGTGTGGACTCTCAAAGCGAGTACTTCGACGCCCCTGCCAAGCATGAGGACGCAAAGTGCATAGAAAAAACCGACTACGACCGCAAAATCAGCTTCGAGCGCAACTACGGGATCCAGAAACCGCGCCATTTGCACCAGGAAGCCTACCCGGAGTTCCCCAATGGATTCCCCGATGTCTACCTGGAGCCCAGCCATATGTATGCAGTGGAAACGGAGCAAAGCATGCGAGTGGGCAAGATTCTGTCGGACATCGAACAAAACACCCTGCCCATTGCAGAAAAGGCGAAACCGCCCCCTAAAACCACCCACATTTGGCCGGAAAGCATCATAGGCTTGCCTACGGAGGTGGAGGAGATCAAGCACAGTGGCGGGCAGCGATCCACTGAGTCCGAAAGCAACATCTTCAGCTTCGACGAGGACCGAATCCAGTCCCTGCAGGAAAACAGCGACATGAGCGATCACGGTTTCAGCGTGGTGCCCAACATCGACGTCCAACCAACGAAGAAAGAAGTGCGCAGCTACCGGGACGTTTTCATGGAAATCGAGCCTCGGATCTGCCACGATCTCCCCTTCCATCAGCCCATCGAGCGCACCAAGTCAGACCCCAACTCCCTAGCTAGACAGAAGATGAATTCCAGCGCCAGGCGCTTGTTGCTGATGCATCAAAAGTCCATAGACTTAACCCCGGCAGAGTCCAGCGACGAAGACTATTTGTATAAGCAAATCCCTAGCGCGCCTCCCATCACCAAGTTCAAGGGGATTCACTTTGAGATGCCCACCGCCGAGTTCGGGCACTTCGACATCCTCAAACGAGAAATTGAGGGGCAAAAGACCAAGTTTGAGGTGCCCAAGAGCCAGTTTGAGTCACTGGGCGCCAAGAATCAAGCCGACCTGGTCAACCTGCCCCCTAAGGGCGAGGACATTCCCTATGTGCTCCACAAGCGACACATCATGAACGGCACACAGAAGGACGAGGTCAAGACCCCCGAAACCAACCTTGCCAAAGATGTGGTCAAACAGGAAACATCATTTCTCTTCACGCAAAACATCGACCTCTCCAAAGTTAACCCTGTCACCTTGGAGGTGGACAAGAGCATTCCGGCGATTCAGCTGGTGTCCAGCCCTAAGCGGGACATCACTCACATTGACCCTCTGGTGCTCGAGACCCTCAACTCCAAGCTCAGTCAAATTGAGAGCGACTCGCCCACTAGTTCGCGCACTGAAAGCCTCAAGCCCCTCCAGAGGCTGCTGTTGGCCAAGCCCCTTAAGGTGGAGCCGAAGGCCGATGAGATTCCTTCGTCGTTTCCAATTGCCCCCAAAGCGGAAGACAAGAAACCTGCGGTGGAGCCCGTCAGGGCCAAAGTCTTCGACAAAATTAAAACCGACATCAAGCCGAAAAGGATCATCAAGCCCCGGATGCAACCAGGCAAAAGGGGAGGCAAAAGCAACAAGACCAAGGTGCGCATAACCTCCTTTAGCTCAGACGATGAATCCCTGGATTCGGATGATGTGTTTGGCAGCGCGGAGGCCACTCCGACCAGGATGGAGTTCTCCCCGCCTCAAATGAGGAAGGAAATGGAGTCGATACTCAAGTTCGAATCCGAGCGCAAATACCTGCAATACACCATGTCTTCCACCGAAGTGGAAGGGTCGCCCCCAACCAGCCGGAAGAAGACTGAAAAAGACAACGGATTAGATCCTTCCGCCGCCCAGCAAACCGAACTCAGACGAATATCCGAACGATCGTTTTCCATCCCGAGCAGCGAAGATGAGTTCAACGTGAAGGTCGCGGATTTGGCGCCGGTGTTTGATTGTGTGACGCAGGATTTGCTGAAGATTGTGGAGGAGGATGGGGACAAGTCCTTGGACGAGACCCTCAAAGAGGGAATGGACAGTTCGATCGATGAGGAGCGGCAGCGCGAAAAGGCGCTGCTGCAGGCGGAGATCGAGAACGACCTCAAAGACCTGCAAGTGCCCCCCAGGACGAAAATTACTGAAATCGTGTCGCCGAACATGCGAAGCAAAAGCCAGAGCCCGCTGCTTTTTGCCCACGCTCGCCTCAATCTGTCGGAGGGTTCCGCATTCTCGTTGCTTCAGAAGCAGCAGGCACTGGATTCGCCTTTGTCCAGCAGACGAGCTCGAAGCCTGGACGCCCCGATTATCCCAGTCAACAAACTCCCGCCCCTAAATGCGTTTTCCAGCAAGGACGACACTGTAGATGAAGAAGACGCGAACCAAACCGACCAGAACTTGGCAAGCGCCACTTCCACCGAAATTTCCGACGCGGACACTGGCGACTTATCGACTACTCCTGGGAATGGAGTGGTTCCAGTTGCGGACCAGGTGAGGCCCAGAGGCTCAGTAGGCGACAAGGACCAAATAGTTCCCGATGTCACCCACATGAAAAAGAAGCCCGCTCTGGCGAAACCCACCCCCAAACTGCCTCCGAAAGGAGTGGCGCCTCCAAAACCCCTCATAGGCAAAAAGCCGCAGGCCTCCAAACCCAAACTCGCCAAGCCCAAGGTGGAGCCTCCTAGCAAAACCGTTTCCAAGCCCCCGTTAGGCCCGAAGTCGCTCTCAACTGATTCGAAAAAAACCCCCCGGACTCGAGGACATCGGCTGTTAACTGAAAAGGCCGCCTCAGCTGATTCGGAAACCAAAAGCGACGACGACAGGAAGTCAACCAAGCAAAAATCGCTGTCCAGCCAGTCCTCGTTAGCCCTACCCGAAATCAAGCGCACCAAAAGCCAGGAAATGGAGCCCAGCCGAAAGACCGTCCCAAAGGAAAAGGCCAGATCGTTGGAGAAGCTGGAGCTGAGGCGAATGGGCAGCAAGGAGCGCACGAAAAGCCAAGACGAAAGCGAGGATGTGATCGCGGAGCGACGCAAACTGCAGCAAATGCTCTATGAAACAGCCATCAAGCAGACCAAGACGCTTAAGAGCCCGGTCAAAGACGTGCTGCCAGTGTTTCCACAAGTGGAGGAAACCGTGAGGGAGCGAGGCGGCAAGTTGGAGATCAGCATCAACACCATAGAACCAAGCGTTTCCTTGGAAGAAGCCATCATCGTCACTAAAAGCCCCAAGAAGCTTGACAAGAAGCTAACCAAAAGCCTGGAGCTAACATTGAACGATGAGGATGGCCAGGAGAAGGGCGTCCAGCGGCTGGGCAAAAGCCTGGATCTGGAACGAAGCAAGTCCGAGGATGAAGCAGACAAATCCACCGAGTTCGACTTCAAGCCGGAAACCATCAAGAGCATCAACGAGAAAGACAAGTTGGATGAAGACTCGAAGCGAGCCACTGTTGTTGTTGCAGACGTCCACGAACCTGCTGGGGAAGATCGCGTTCTACTGGAGGGAACCAGCTTGGATGTGTGGCTGGCTGTAGGCGAGCAACCACAACTGCAGAACATCGAGGTGATTCAGAGCGGCTCTGATTTTTTTGAGCAACGGACATCTCCCAAGCCTCCAGACCTCAGCCAAATCGACACCAAAAGCAAGAGCTCCTCCGACTCGGTCAGCACAGACAAAATCAGCCTGGGCAATTCTTTGGACATAAAATACATCGACGAATCCGCAGAGTCTTCCGGAAAATCCGATAAAGACCCCGAGCTGATGGCGGAAATTCAAAGGGCCTCCCTCACAGTCAGCAAGTTTCTTCGCAGGAAACTGGAGCGAAGACGCATCGAGTCCATTACCCGACTAACCAGCGAAGAGGAGTCCTTGACAGAAGTAAGCGAGCTGAAGGAGGTGGAGAGGAACTTCCTCATGGTAACTTTAACCAAGGAAGCCTCAATGAAGCTGAGCATGGAAGGGGGCAGGTCGGAAGACACCGGTTCCTGGATGACAGTAGAATGTGAGGAGGTTTTGGGGGCCGAGACCTCTCTGGACCACGATCCACTTGAATCGCCGGACACCGTTCAGATGGACGCTGAGTTGGAAGCAACAGACGGAAACTTCCTGGAGGCTGAAAGCAAGCAGGCGAAGCTGAAGCTGATCAAGCGGGGTTCCGATCAGTCCAAGTCCAGCGACACTGGCTCTTGGACGAGTGGGGAAAAGGAGCTGAGTCCCAGCAACGTGAAAGAAACCGACGAATCGAGCGCAAGCTGCTCTATGGGAAGAGCGATCGGTCTGAGCCAAAACATTGAAATGTTTGCCATCGAAAAGGGCTCCTCGCACTCGTCCGAGGAGCCTCTTAAAAGCCCCCGCAGTCCCAGAATTTGCGTCCTGGGCAGAGCCTTTACCATTGACGAAGGTTCTCAGAAGCTAGACGAGTCGAGTTCGGATGAGGCCAACGAGATACCCAAAGACCTGGCGCCTATTGAGGAGGCCACCGACTCTGATAATGGCAAAATGAAGAAACCCTATCCGTTCCAGGAAAAGTGGTCGCAGGACTCGGAGCTGAGCCAAAAGTTGCATAGGAAAATCTCCAAGAAACTGTCCTCCGGGGACAAGGTGAGCTTCTCGTCCACAGAGGAGACGTTTTCTATTGGCTGGCGCAATGCTCTGGAAAAACCCAGCTTGATGACTATAGAGAAGCTGAGCACAGAGTCCAAGAACTCCTTGGACACCGAGTCGAGTTCAGGAAGTTTGGGGATAGCAACCCGAGCTCATACGTCTGGGGACATTCCTAAAGAGTTGAGCTCCAGTTGGAAGCCCTTTCCTTTGGACAGCTCCGGCTCTGAGAGCTTCGACGACAGCTTGCTGCCTCCGGATCAGGAACTGGAAAAGCATGAGTACTTCCTCTGCAGGGATAATTCAGGGGATTTTACCTCCATGACTGATGTTTGTTACAAAGGGGGCGAAATCACTCCGACGAAAGACGGCACTGAACTGCCTGAGGACTTGGCTAACTTCCCCGCCAACTTTGGTCTGATAAGTTCGCTGGCTGGGGCTTCAGATATCTTGGGCGCGTACACGGGAGGCGGTTTCCTATCTAGAACGTTGTCCAGGATCTCTGAGCGCAGCACCAACTCAGAAAAATCTAGTCTGGAGGAGGACTCGACGAAAGCCAGCACTCAGAGCGATAGCTTGAATGATGAGTCGCTGGCGTCCAGCAACCCTCAAGTGAGCGCCAGCTCAGAATCGCCCAGCAATGCTCAGGTTTATGACGACAGGAAGACCAGTGGCAAGCCCAGTTTGGCTAGCAGCGGTGGCAAGGGGAGCAAGCAGCAGGATTTGAGCAATAAACCCAGCACTGATCCGGCGCCCAACTTCAGCAGCCTGCTTCAGAGGCAAATTTCTGATGACCGGCGGACATCGGCGGAAATGGCTGAGCTGTCGATGGACGACATAGAGATCATCACCTCTGAGCGAGGTTTGCGTCTGAAGCGGCAAGGATCGGATGACACCATCATTGATGAGGAGTGCTTTGAGGTGGAGAAGCAAAGCAGCCAGGAGAGCGAGGATTGGCCACTTCCAGACATCCCCAGTCATGGACAACGGACGTTGTTGGCCATGCACGAGCTGCCCAGCTCGGACACTTCCGCTCAGCTCACCACTCAAGTCTACCAACCGCCCAGCAAGAGCATCCCCAAGACTTTCGGGCTGAGAGGCTCGTTGAAGAGCCAGGAGTCCGAGCACTGGCCCAGCCCCCCATCTAGCGTTCATGAGCCTATAGTGGAGAATATAGAAACCTACTACATCTCGCCAGCCGAAGAAGCTTGCAGGGTGACTGTGGAGTCGAACACCAGCACTCAAAGCACTTACGACAACGACTCGAACTCCGATGATTATCGAACGGTGGATTTCGATGAAATGGAGAAAACCCACACCTATGAGAACGTTGTCTCTGGGGAGCACATCAGCGAAAGTTTGTCGGACAGTCAAAGCGCCAGCGTGGGACCCAGTGGGGTTAAGATCGTCTTGGAGGAGAAAAGCCAGGGCTCCGGCTCGGACGAGGACTTGAATATATCGAACCTCAATGACGACGTGTTTATCGACGGCGGGGAAAGTGTGTTGAGGAGCGAGCAATTGAGGCCTCCAACCGCCTTGCGTAGGAGTACAGCGTCGGATGACTCCAGGAGCGATAGGAGGAGTTCGCCGGCCGGCTCCCACAGCTCCTACAGCGAGGAGGACTGCACCAGTTCAATGGGCACCAATCTTGAGGACGGCACGGTACGGTTCGCGCTGAAGCCCACCAAGTGCACTCACAGCTCCCATTCTGAGGACACCTCAATGGCTCTGAGCCTCTCCGAGTGGTCGAACAGCACCAACACCGTCAAGTTCCAGAACCTGTCCAGCAACAGTGGAACGACCAAGAGCAGTTCGGGACTGAAGAGCGACGAGAACTCGCTCACTGACATAGCGCAGAGCATTTCTGAGTGGTCCTCGACTCAGAGCAGCACTTTGAAGGTGCAGCCGCCGGGCGGCAGCCACCCGTTCCAGAAGTTGTCCAGCAACACCTCAACTGGGGAGAACACACTCACTGAGCGGATCCCCAGCATCTCGGATTGGCCCAGCGAGGCGAAGCCCTTGCATTTTTTCCCGCAGGAGCGGGTCGCGACCCGATTGGGGTCCAGCTTGGATATCGAGGAAGTTGTGCAGGATCAGCACAGCCCGAAAAACATCCCTTCGGGGGATTTTTCGATGTTCTCCTCCAGCCGTGGGGAGAGTGGGAAGTTCACGAAAAGCACCGAGCGGCCCATGGTGATCCCCGTGCAGTCCGACACGGATAAGAGCAGTAGTTCCCTGGAAAACAAGACCGTGCACACTCAGAGGTATGACAGTGAGAAAAAGGGGTACTTGCAGGTGTCGAAGAGCACTGATCGGCCCGTGCAGGTGAACTTGAAGCTGGCCAAATGCTCTCCCTACTACTCCAGCAGCTTGAGTAGTGAAAGCACGCCCTTAACCACAGCGACTCCGGTCCCCATGAGCAAAGTGGCCACTGTTCCTTTGACCAGGATCCATAAAAGGCCCATGTCGAGGAGTTTGACGCATGCCAAGAGTCCTCCTAGTGAAAATGACTCGACCAGCTCGGTGGAGTCTCCCAAGAGCAAGTCGGAGAGGGAGAGGCGAGGATATAGGAGGAAGAGGCAGCTGCAGCAGCAGCGCAACAAGGCGAAGACTGAAAAGGAGCAGTACTGCATAGATGAGTACTACTATGTGGAGAATGAGCACGGCTTGACGGAGTACAACGAGTACATTAGGGAGAGGAACATGGAGGAGATGGCCTCGAACTTCCAGTACGAAGCGGGGCTGGCGCAGGACAGCCCAGTGCTGCTCTACAGCGCGGAGCATCTGGAGGAGGGCTACTATCCAGATGGAGACTCCCAGTCTGGATCCGATATTTTTCGCATGGAGAGAGAGGAAGAAGACAAGCACGAGTGCTCGGAGGGATTCGATGTCAGTTCCATTCCACCGCCACTGTTGGAGGACGATTTCGAGAGCGATCCGACGCCGCACATTTGATTTTAATGAACTCGTCGCATTATAGGTGACACTCAAGCTTGTTATGATATTTTTCGGGTTGATTTTCCTTCCTATTTCGTTCGCGCTCGCCGTTTACGAGTTTCTCATTTTCGTCGGCTTTTTTACGGTGTGCTGACCGACACAATAATCAAATCAAATGTGCTCGACTCCGAGCCGACGATTTTTTGTCTCTGGTTCCGAGTCGGTGCCCATACCGAAAAATCAAACAGTATTTTTAAGTGCCAAAGAGTGATGGTTCCTGGTAGGGAACCTTCCCTATGACGACTCGGTGAGGTTTATGTGCACTTGGCTTACACATTTATACGGGATGGATGCAATTATGCGGGCAATAGTTTGCATGTTCTACAAAAGTTGGAATGATGCAGTTTTTACGATGTCTTTGAACGGTGGGGTTCGATTTATTAACGTGAAAACATAGGTAGATCCAATAAAACCGGAAATTCAAAAAAACTGACTTAGTTTTACGGCGGGCCAAATCCCGTTATTAAATCAAACTCCGAAATAGCGATTTCTTCCCATTTTGCCTCATGGAACTTTGACTGTTTGTTAAATCGATGAGCAAAATGCTTGGTAAAAATAGATTTTTTCGCGTTCAATTCGCCAAATTGTTGACTTCGACAGTGAAAAGTGTAAAAATAGAAATTTTTGCCAACAAACAGTTTGCTTTTGTAGGAAAATTCAGATGCTTTATTCATTGGAGATCATATTGTATATACGAAGTAAAATATTCACCACTTTTGTTTATCTGAAAAATCTGCATAAAATAGAGGAAAACCGCCTTTAAGTCCACTTACAAACACTTTCGGGCTTAATGAATCATACGCACATGTGTTTTTAGCTTAAATTACTCTACAAATCAAGGAGTTTAAGCGAAAAAATGTCCATTTTTTGCATAAACTTTTGAAATTACTGTGAATGTTCAGGAGTGAAAATCTAAACCAGGTAGTTACTTTGGGTGTTTGGAAATGTGTTGATTTTGTGTTTTTGCTTATAAATTTTTTCAAATTTTGCTAATAATTTTAGTATTGCAACGTATTTGACTGATGGAATGATTTGTATCATCGTTACGTTCGGTTCTGTATTTCTTTTAGCAAATTTCTTAATGCTTTTTGTTGATAGTTTATGAAGAAAAACGATTATCGTCTTGCCGTTTGCTCATATTTTATTCGTCGCCAAATAATTGCTGGACAATCTTGTCGGGAAAAATGTTCTTATGTTGAAAATTCATGCATATGCGAGTGTTGTTGCAACAAAATGAACGTTTCATTGCCAAATTTGCCCTAACTTTGGAAGTGGATTAATTCTGATTGCTTTAAGCGATTTGGTTTATGATTGAAGCGTTATTGAGCCCCGTTTGGTTTTTGTTAGTCAACGTTTTGATAAAAATTAAGCCCCTCAGATGCATTCTACAGGGCGACAAATTAAAAAAAATTGCAAAGTTCGCAAGTTGGACAAAAAAGGTAAAAAATGTTTGTCTGACGCATAATTTTATGCAAACCACGCACTAACCGATACAGAATTCCATTCAATTGCTTCCAATAGAATCGCCCGCGACGGTAAGAATTTATCCAGTTCCAAAGTTGTTGATCAGTTTATTGAGGAATTTACCACTTTAATTACCCTGGAGATCTTCTGAGTAAATTTCTAGACGACGATGCAAAAAATCTAACGCAAGTGTCGAAAAACATATTGCTTTTTTGGAAATCTTGTAGCAGAGCCGAGTGCCCATAAAACAGTTCACCAGTTGTTATTAGTATTGTTGAAATATTTGCTCATTAGCCAGGTACATCCAGTCAGAACTGGATTTTTTTGCGTTTAAAGTTCCTACGTGCGCCAATTCCACTTTGGAATGGAAAAAAATATTTTTTTTAATGGACAATGGTCGATATTTATTCAAGCTGTTCTAGATGATTTTTGCGTTTACTGTTACATAAAAACCTGCTGATGAGTGGAAAAGTGTGAACAAATAAGTTGTTTCGAATGTGGCGTGCCAATTTGAAATCGATATTTTCTAAACATAATTTTCTATACCAACTTCTCGAAGTAATTCACTCAATTAGGCAACTGCTGGCACCGCTAATTTTCAACTAGTTGAACGACCGTCTTTGGTTGATGGCCTGTTTTGGAGCGAATTGCAACCAAAGGCCATTAACAAAGGAATGGTTTGCTTGCAATCATTTTAGGGGCGGATACTATTGCGACTTTTAATTCCCAGGAAGCTGTTCATTTTTTCGATGATAAACAAGAGGACTTTTTCTAAGTTCAAGCTTCCAGCTAAACATGTTAAAACCGTGAACATTAATGAGAGAAAGCTGGCCGGTTTGCAGCCAATTAAAACAGCAAAATGAGTTGGGAAAACGCTGATTTAAGACGCTTTAAATTAAAAATTATACCATGCACTTTGATTGAGGAAATTCAATAAAACCGATTTTTGAAACTTTTTGGTTTGTGCCAACTTTCAGTCACCCAGCTTCGACTCATTATTGCAATTTTAGAAGATTCGCAATAGTGTATCGCCCTCTTTGCGCCTGAAGACTGATAATAAATGTAAATAATTGAGTTGAGATGAAAAATCAAATTTATTACCCTTTAAGGAAACGTTGTAATTCTTTGTCTGTTACTGTTGCGTATTATTACGATTTCCATCAGCGAACTAGTTTGATGCAGGTGAAGGCCTAAGCCCTACAAGTGTGTCCCTTGTGTAGCATTCAAGATTGTTTTATTGGGTCGAGTTGAACGTACCAAGCCTAACTGGACCTAAATGTAGTCAATGGATCTTTCAAGAATCCGATGTAGCCATAAGAAGCCCCCTCTTTGATTTTTGTGATATTCAAATAGCATGTAATCTATTGTTAAAACGAAATACTGTACATATTTTCGATCTCCTATTAAGTAAGTTTGTACTCCTATTTATTGCTTTATGAAACCGGTGAAGACGTTGAGTTGCCCATGGATTTTTTACTTTGTAAGTTAACGATTTAACGAGCAAAAAGTTTAGATACTTAATTCATATTCGCAGTCTTGATTTATCATGTTCCAACATTAAAAGCACTAGCATGGTAAGGTCATACGGAATAAAAGACATCATTTGAAATCGTGTTCATTAATGTTTGTCCTAGTAGGTCTAGTTTTGGAACTACCAGGTGAGCAGAGTTTACACATGAAGCCACTAGTTTAGGACGCTTATTGTCTTCCATTTCAATGCTTTTTCAATTACAGATGACCCCAAACTTGAGCTAGACAGCAAGGACACACCGTTTAGATCCATGGACAACAACAATTTTTACACGTCCACCCCCAGTTACAAGAACGCCAATGGAAACGTGTCCAATCTGTCCCTGGACACGACCAATGCAATGTACAGCCTCACAGGGAGGAACTATGAGAATGAGCAGCTGATGAACAGCATTAATGGTAAGTTTAGCGCAACTGAGAAAACCATTCTCCAGTTTTCGCTTGCAGTTGTAAGGGTTGTTTCGGTTAATTTCTTCAATTTTTTGGTCCAAAATACTTTGCCACGACTTTTTTTTTATCGAAACTTGCGTTTGCGTCGTTTTCGTATGGATTTTCTTCAAGTTCATTGTCTTAAAGATTTGACTGTGTTGCCTTTTATCGATGGTCTCCGTTTGTTTCCATTCAAATATAAGGAAAAAGCAAAAATCGACGAGATGAATGACTAAAGGAAATCAATGACAAAAAATTGAATGGTTGTTGCAACAAACAAACATTTTAACGTGGAGTGAATTGTTTAAAGTATCTCAAAGTTTCCGTCCTGTTTAGTCAAGCGCAATCCAAAAAAGCGAACTCGCCAGTAGTGATGAGGACAGGTAAAAGCTAAAAAATAGATTTCGCTCAGAGAAAGACGAGGATGAACCAAAAGAAAGGAAGTCGCATCGAACCAGGAACGCAAGATACAGTAGATCCAGACAGGAACCTAAAGATAGGCGCAGTCATCGAAGCCCCTCGAAGACCCAGACGCTGAGCTCGATAAAAAAAATATGGCACAATTAAAATTGCTGCGAAATCAAACAGAAGCAAAACCTAAAGCAATGTTGCCTGCAAAGCCGTCACGTTTAAGAAGTGATTCTTCTAGTTCAGAAGACGAATCATCTAGTGATTGTGAGAGTGACAGCAGCTCAGAAGCAGAGAGACCAGAAACTTTTGGTTTAGTTACTTCTGATGGAAAGAAACTAGCGTTCAAGAACAAGGGCAAACCGATTACCACCGATAAGCGACCAGTGAAGAAGATTACAGAAGCTGCAAAGCCTGACAGGAAAGGCGTTAAAAAACTGAGTGAGAAGAAGAAGGAGAAAATGATGCAAAACGCGACAGTTCGAGCCAAGGAGCGAGAGGAGCATCTCAGAAAGTACAGGGAAGCCGCTAAACAAGAAGATGAATCAGTGACCAAGAAATATTATGCTGATTTAATACACGCAGTTATTAAAAAGTGCTAAACGCACTTCAGTGGAGGACAGGATCAAGTTGAAATTAAACACCATTCAAAGATCATCGAGACATATGGAGCAAAACTTCTCAAAAAGACTGTAATTGATTTTTTTACTAGTGTGTAGATGTAAGAGTGCTCTCACTACTGTTCTAGTGAAGCTTAAAAATCATTTATTAAAAAACTGGTTCTTTTTAAGTAAATCTTTCTTTGAGCTCGATATTTTTACTGTATGCTCGTTGTTTAACTATGATTAACTTGAAATTGGCAAATGTATAAATATATCTAATTTTGATTGCCTGTTTTGTATAGCTGTATTTTCTTTCTCTATAAAGTTTTGTAATTACTGAGTCTTTAGATAAACTTTTTATGACGATGTCATGATTCAATGGATCTTAAAGTTTCTGTTTTTGCCTTAGATTTTCTAGGGTGGAAACTCAATAGATTTTGCTTCTATCTTCGAGTTCTTGACATTTTATAGGATGAAATTTGAGTTAGTTTGAAAAAGAAGTATGATAAGTTAGGAAACATTGAAAGCTTTATTAAGAGTTTTTCGTGGATTTTCTTGACGCTAAACATTTTATCACGACTTTGTTACTAACTCTGACTTTTGGATGAATTTCTTCACGCTTGTATTTTCTTCAAAGTTACTCTCTTTATGATTCGACTTTGTTGTTGCTGTTTCTTTACGACTCGATTATTCGTAAGTAAAATATTCAATGTGAACCTGAACGTTTCGATTTTCGCTTGAGTTTTTTCAATGTTGAAACTTTGAAACTGGTGATTTCAATAGAATTTGCACTTTTCTCAACTGGTTCAGGAATTTTGAAAGCTGTTCAAACATCCATTTGGGTTTCAGGGGTTTAATATTAGATTTTCTGATTTTTTTTGCACAACTTTATCGTTAAAGCAGAGATTAGTAGACTACTAATCTCTGGTTTAAGCTTGAGTTTGTAACATTTTCGGAGAGATTTCTTCGCGCTTTATGCCCTTCAAACTCACATTTCATAATTCGACTTGCTGTTTCTTTGCGACTAAATTATTCATGAAAATCGTTAAGATCTTAGCAAAATTTTAACGCGAAGTAAATTATTCAATGTTGAAACTTGAAAACTTGAAGACTTCAAAAAACGAGAAAAATACATTTTTGTAACTAGTGCCAATGTTTTCTTTACAAGCAGGCGTACAACATATTTTTTGTCCTCTGCAGATTCCAAGTCCACCAACGGCGGCAACACCACAACGATAATTGCGGATATTGAAGCAGATGTGAAGAAAATTAAATACCGACACACCATGGACAAGACCTACTATATAGCCAAAGAAATTCTCATGACTGAGCTCACCTACAAGAAGGATCTGGATGTGATCAATGTGGTGAGTGCGGTGCAGCCAAGTAAACGAAGGTCTTAAAGCGTTTGCCTGCAGTGGTTTAGAGATGAGGTGAGCAAAGAGGAGCCGGAAGAGTGTTCGATTCTCATGTCGCTCATACCGCCGCTGGCTCAAGCCCACGGCTCCCTAGTCAAAGACTTGGAGCAGAGGCTGCAAGGGTGGGATGGAAAAGGCGGGCCCAAAGCAGCTGCGGGTCGGATTGCTGATGTTTTGCTGGCACATTTGCCGCCTTTATTGCCTGTAAGTTTTTAAACACAAAACACACGAGTTTTTCGGGTCTAACCACGTCTGGTTACCACAACCAAAACGTTCCATTTCTTGTGATGTTATGGAGAGTTTCACACATTTTTAATTTAGTTCTACGAAGAATACCTGGACGGCCACGTGCTGATACTAGAGCGTCTGGACGAAGCCTTCAAGAAGAACCAGAAGTTTGAGCAACTGTATCGGGACTTTGAAACGCAAAAAGTCTGCTATCTTCCTTTGACTACCTTCGTTCTGCGTCCACTGCACAGGTAACCATCCCCTAGTAGGCGAAGAACCGTCCTTAAAGACCCCCAATAGGTTGCTTCAGTATCAGTCGCTACTGGAACGGCTTCTCACGCATTACGGGCCGAGCCATCCGGACCGCGCAGACTGCCGAACAGCGTGCGATACCCTGAAGGAGCTGATGACGCCGGTGCGCGAAACGTTGGAGCACTCGGAAAACCTGGCCACGTTATGCGAACTGCAGCGAAACATCGTCGGCTTCGACTCCCTAATCCAACCGGGGCGCAAGTTCATCAGGCATGGCTGCCTGTTGAAACATTCCAGGAAGGGCTACCAGCAGCGCATGTTCTTTTTGGTGCGTATGGGTTAACATTTTATCTGAAAGCCCGCAGAAAGAAAGGCACTCTACTAGGACTCTTTCCCATTCTTAGTTCTCAGACATTTTGCTCTACACATCCCGTTCTCAAGCAACGCTCCAATTCAAAGTGCACGGTCACATGCCACTAAGAGGGGTTCTAATCGAAGAGCCCGAAGGTGAATTGGCCTACAACGGCTTGATTATTTACGGAGGCAACAGAGCGTTGACGGTGGCTGCGAATTCGCCCGAAGAAAAAGACTGTTGGAAGGAGGACCTGCAGAACGCCATCCAACAGGCCAGGGATAAGTTGGACACCAAAACCACCTACTTGAGCCTGAAAAGTTGCAGTAAGTGGGACGGATGGCTGGCAAGTCGGCCTGTTTGACTGCTGAATTTTAGGCTCATCTGACGAGCATGTCGACCAACTTAGCAATGAAGTCAGCACTCAAACGAAGCCGCAGCCGCAAAGAAGCAACACTACGGTGCATGTTTGCTGGCATCGGAATACCAGCATCAGCACGGAGGACGAGCTGCTAGCTGTTGAGGTAAGTTTGTGGTTGCAAGCTAAAAAAAAAACAACTAATCTCCTTCCAGAATCAACTCTCCGGATATTTGCTGCGAAAGTTTAAAAGCAGCAACGGTTGGCAGAAACTCTGGGTGGTTTTCACGGAGTTTTGTCTGTTTTTCTACAAGGGTTGCATGGACGAGGTGCCGTTGGCCTGTTTGCCGCTCTTGGGGTACAGCGTCGGGCCTCCGGAGCCCGAGGATGAAATCGCCAAAGACTTTGTGTTTAAACTCCAGTATAAGAATCATATTTATTTCTTCAGGGCCGAATCTGAATACACTTACAGCAGGTAAGAAAATACACACAAAGGTAACTGGTAGGTGGATTGAAAGGGCGGTTTTCAGGTGGATTGAGGTGATCAGCAGTACCACGTCGCACAAATCGAAACGAGCAATGTTCAGAAATGATAACGAAATTACTGAAATTCTTCAGGACTAGACTGGTGACCGATTGTTGAAAGTTGAATAAAAATTTATCTCAATTCTAGACATGTGGGAAGTGATCCCACTCCCTACCCGAGTATTACGTTGGCATTTAAAATCAACGCTCATTCCTGAACTAGAATGATTTTGTGCCTTATCCAATAGTTTAAGTACTAAGTTGTAAATACTGTATAGATATATTTTTTACAGAATGTTATCGTCTTAACAATGCTATTAATGTTTTAATCTAGCCCATAGTAGGTCGAGGAGACAATAAACACTTACATTAATTTAAATACAGGGACTAAATGAAAGGCGGCGTTTCAGTTTTAAATGTTTAACTCAAAACCCCTTATTAGAAATGTTGCATTTTTTTCAATAACAGCAGTTGTGGATGAAAACAATCAATGTGGCTTTATATGTCGAACAATCAAATATAACAAGCAAGTTTCCAATGTCAGAATGTGAGCACAGTGGAGCGCACGCACCTTTAACACTTGCAAGAGAAATATATTAACAGCTTTACATCTTTTCCTCGCGCTCAACTGTACGTCATACTCACAAGAAACTAAATCATATGCCAAAGTATAAAACAAGTGGTTTGTTTATTAACCCAAACTAGATGCGAAAGAAATACCTAATGAATAGTTACACTGGTGGCTACCGAGCTCAGACGAATCCGAAGTTCTTTGTTTTAATTGCCAGAAGTAACTTTTGTCTAAGAACAGTCCGACTACTATAAAGGGGTATATAAAGTCGAGAAATACACGTGTTTGCCGTCGGCAAATGTGCATCGTCTGCAGGTCGGATAGTTACCGAAGGCATCGGCTGAAAACCATCTTCACTTGCTGGCAGAGCCGGGGATCCCGTCCAAAAATACACCTGCAGAAAACACGCTGTTTTCACCCAGTTTACTGCGACTTTGGATTGCTACTTACCAAATCCTGTCTTTCCAAATGACTCATTTTCTCCACAATGGACCACAGCCATCTCTTGAACTTCACAAGTCTGTCGCTACTCTCTCCCGATTCATCGTTGAACGACGTGTACGATATTAGAACGCTTACATTGATGTCACCCACTCCGTTCAGCAAAAGCCTCAAATCTTCGGAGGTGAGCCCATCTAACGACCCTTCCGGAAGGACGTCAAAGACACCCGCTTTAATTTTCTAGAAAACAACATTACCTAATTAGTACGTAAAAAAATCAATGTGAAATAGATTATGCTGAAGTTTGTTGAAAAATCACACTTATGCCAATTGCGACTCTACGTGGATAAACTGAATTGGATTTTTTTAAAGAAACTGAAGCATTTTTTTCAATAAAACTCCAAATCTTTTGCTCCCTCGACTGGATCGCCCTATATATAAATAATATGGTTGCACAGGATGAAATGTAGCTGTGAATTGATATTTGCAGTAGCCACAAAACGAGCTAAGAAACATAGGACACAGCGTTGCTTTTCACAGTTATAAACGCCACTAAACCGAAACGTGCGGTTAAATGGATGTTGGACTGTGGTGGTGTATTAAAAACGCAAACTGTTCCCTTAAGCACTTACTTCGATGGCCTTTTCCTGGACCTTTATCATTCTGAATTCGGCATATCTTCTAACGTAGGTGTAGACGTTCAGGGATGTGACTTCTATGTCTTTTCCGTTGGGCACAATGTCGACTGTTCCGTTGCCTTCTTCAGGTCCCAAGTCAATTCTGTTGACAAAGAAATAAAATTATTATCGAAATAAAGGGAAAATTGACAACAAGCTGAGCGAATTGTGCTTACGTGAAATTCAGATCAAGAGCCGAAAACAGGCTGTTGCTGTCCTTCGTTTCCGAGTCCACAACCAGTTGTCTTAGAGATTCGTAAACGACAGGATCGAAAAAGGCCAAGTCGTGGAACTTGACTGGTCTTCCTAAAATCGACTTCAACACGTGCCGTGTGAGGAAAATCGGGCAGAGCTCGTTTTGAAGCAAACATAATCCCAATAATCTGAAATCGCAAATAAACGTATCAATTGAGTTTCAAGAAGCACAAGCACTGGTCTTGAACCAACTGATATCAATTTACCTTCCAACGTTCCTAAAGGCGTTTAATCTTTCAAAAGTCGCCCTTCCTTGGCGGGGCGCATAGAAACCCCTTTTGCCTGGGCTGTAAAACAACGGTGCATTGTCTTCCTCCTCGGGTACAGTTTCCTCTGTAACAGAATTATCCGAGTTGACGGTCCTGTAGCCATTTTCCGAACCACGTTCATTCAACGAAAACACGCCTATGCTCCCTTTGTTAGAAACAATAAGAATACATGAAATTTATATAAAAAAAGAAGCGCGACATTTGAATGAATGTACTTCAAATGCTTTGAGACTTACCTAATAAAGCATCGGATCCAATATCGGCATGGGACTGGGAATGAGCCAGAATCATTTCGACGGCTTCCTCAACTTTCGATCTCAGGGACTCCTCGGACGCCAACAACAGAAGCAGCTGTGCCGGTGATAACTCCAGCAACATTCCTAAAAATCCTTGTTGCATTTAAGCAATCGACACAAAACACTGCTTTCCTACCTGTAATCCGTCCAGCAAAAGTAGGATGTAGATTGAAGACTTTTGGATATAATCTGTCTCCAAGTTGCTGTTGGTGGGAGGTCAAGTGCTCGTTAGGTAACGAATTGATCCCATTAGGGTGGTTGTTGCTGGGCGAAATATCCGGCATGGAAGGTGCGTCTGGATTGTTGTGCATATTATCTGCAGGAACATAAGGCCTTGCGTCTACACTCATAACGCGACGATGATGGTCTCTACTTCTTCCCGACCCCCTGGAAGGCAGGGATCGTCGCAGCAGCTCTCTATCTCTCTGTCTTAACCTGGAAAATGTGCCCCTAATCCTTTTACTTTCAGACAAACGTCCCAGCAGGAGAATCGGACCAACCTTTGCAGAACGCTGTATTGACTGTACTTGTTGTCCACTACTTGAGCTGCTTCCAAACTCGGTAATTTTTCATTGGAAAGAACAGCTTCCGCTATAGCCGTGTAGAAACTTCTGGTCACACCGCTTCCCTCACCAGGCTCGTCTTTGAATGTTACTTTTACTCTGCAAAAAAACCATCATGTAAATTGTCCGAATTTAATTTTGCGAGGGATTCCTTACCGATTGACTGCCAAGGGTGGGGACGACGAGTTTCTTCTGTTATAGCTGCTAAACTGTGTGTTCAGCTCTTTGAAAGTTTGCATCAAGAGCTGAGTACGATCGCGCTCAATCTTCGACAACGTTAAATCTCTTTGCTGGTTATTTCTCAGTTTCTCCATGTCGCGCCTAAATTTCGCTTCTTTTACCGGAAAACCACCCAACTCGGACACTATTGATCCGGGTTCCAAACCAACATCCTCCATAAATACGCGACCGAACAGATCTAGAGACAACCTCCAACGACCTATAAAATCAAACAATCAAAGCTACAGTTAAACAGACAGAGTAAGTCAATTTTCAACTTACCGAGAAGCAAGTCGTGAGACACCAGTTGACCAATAGTCGGTTTGGGAAGCTCTTGGGCAACTGAAGTGGTAACTACTGTTACATTAGCCGATATTTCCTGGTTTTCTAATGATTCTGCCTGCTGCACGTCCATCATTATATCTGATTCGTTGGATTTTATACTGGGTGCGCTGTTGCTCTGTAAATATCGAAATGTATAAGAAAAAGAAGGATAGTAAATTATATTTAAAAATATGAGGCGAAAAACGTGTTAGTGGTGTGTGCCCCGTATCTGTCCCCAGTTAAAAACTTAACCAACTGCGGTCATCAGAGAGCAACAATAATTTTGGAAGGTATGTGGTGTGCAGTTCATTAAGAGAATATTGCACATGTATGAGCCCTTCCGGGTGAATTAAAATTGACTAAATTGAAGTACGTACCATTGAAGATCCTGCGCGAACAATAACGCTTTTGCTTGCACTTCTGGATGAGCCCGACATCGAAGAGGTTGCACTAAGAGCGTCACTACATATGTTGCTACGATCCAAATTTTCTGACAGTTGGTAAGAAGGCAGAGAACACAACTGTAAAGTTGATGCATTAGTTAAAGCTAAAAGAAGCTTAAAATGCTAAATAAATCTCACCAGTTCTTGATTGACTATTTCTAGGTTATTGTCGGATTTTCTTGGGGACACTATGATTTGTGGACGACCAGTTTGTGGTACTTCCGGAGGGAGTGGAATATTCGCCACGTTGGTACTTTTCGAAGATAAATCTTGTGGTTTTTCGTTGATTGCTTCTTCTGCAAAATAGTGCGCTATGGATTTCAATTGAGACACAAACACCGAAAATGCGATTTTGATGTCAATAATAGGCGTTAAAACAAAAAAAACTGTATGATCAGATAAAAAGCATGCGGTTATAAAGTATATACATAAACCGAAAAGAAAAACGGCATTAACACCAAGGACTAGACAAATGACCCACGGTAAAATAGCCATTTTACATGTCCACATCACACATTTCTTTCTTTGAGTGGCTGCTTCCAATCGAAGAATATTGCACGATTTAAAATGGCTGTTTTAGGACAAGTTTCTTACATCGCGTAAAAGAGCAGTAATGGCTAAAGATTTGAACACTACGATCACTGGAACGCATTTATTTCAATGATCAGCTGGCCGCGGAACCAAAAGGACTAATCCAACTAATCTAGCGAAATCCAATGAGTTTGTTTTTTATGGTTCCCTTTGGTTCCAGTACATTGTCAGCTGCCATTTTCCAACCAAAACTGCTCCTTTAACATCTAACTTACCACTAGCTTTATTACCGATAGCGGCCAGCAGGCTTTCGAAAGGTTGCATGTTCCTTTTCTTTGAATCTTTCACCGGCGAGTTCGCATTACTTCCACTGCTGCTGCTCGTGCCTGGCAGAGACTCTCGCGATGTTGGTAGGTTAACATCCATTAAAACCTGAAAACATTCGAATATAAACGATTGTGGATTATAAAAAAATGCCAGTCATTTACCTGTCCGTCTCTAGAAATATCTACATCGGGACCGTAGTTTTTTGGGTAAGTCAGCGGATTAGGACCCATCACGTTCAATGAACTAGAAATGGGATGATTGGCATGTGCTGGTTGGCGCATCGCGTAGTCTGTAGTGCGGGTGGATAAACTCAGCTTAGTGGGCAGCTGTTCCAACGGATTGTCCGCGCTCCCTAAACAAACAAATCCCATTAGAGCTCTTTCCATTGTAAAGTATGCAGTGAACAAACTACCTGTAGAGGTGAGAGTAACCGGTTGTTTAGGGATTCCAAACAGGTCTTCGCGGCGAGCATTGGGTTGCAATAGATGGGGCTGGTCGGCCAAAGGTAAAGCCTCAGACATGGGCGTTTCGAATGGATCGGGCGGTGGACATCCTAGACAAAGCGTCGACTCGGATCTCTGGAAGAACAGGTGCTTCCGACCTTTTCCTTGGAAAGCTGATTGTTGGCCGGTATTGCTTAGACCTGTAGAGAGGTTATTGGCCAGGTTGGAAACCTCCTGGTCGTCCAAAGAGTCCGTGTCCATATTAACAGCGATATCCTCGTCCGCCTCATCATTTTCGTTTTCATCTTGGTCGTAGGCAGGCGGCAGCGGCAACGTGCCACTTTGACTTTTCACATCGTCATCTCTGTGCAATTAAATTAAATCAGGCACTTTCAAGTAGGCGCCACAATAATCCTACCTTTGGTCAAGCATTCCGGATCTCATGAAGTAAATTAACGCGTCAAAAACATAGGCTACATGCTTAAGCGCGGAAACGTCTAAAATTGGCAATGAATCCAGATGCTCGCTGTTGTGAGCCCGCATTAAAGACAGACAATAGGACAGGAATTCCCTCCTTGCTGCGTGTCCGTCACTTACTGCAACAAATGCCCCAATATTAAAACATTACATGAATCAATTTACGCTGTTCAATTACCATCTCTTTCGGTGCGACTTCTGCTGCTTTCCACGTTTGTAGTAAAACCAACGATGCGACTTCCAACGGAGCCGTTTGTGCCCGTAGCAGGGTGCGCCCGGCTTGAACGAACCACACTCGAGTTGGAACCTACTACAGAAGAGAACCACCCTTAGAACCAATTAACCAATAGCCTCTTGAAGATATCAACTAATACTGTAAGATCAGGAGTGTCAGGATAAAAAAAAAGAAAGTGCAAATTTGAACTCATCGTGACCGTCATAGATAGGGGTAGGAGAAAACTTTTCAAACGTAATAAGCTTGCCGAAATGGTATTGACTAAACCCAGTCTATGTATAACCAAGCCACTGTTGAAACGTTGAATATGAAAAGCAAGTTCAGGCTTGGTGATTATTTGACGATGTGTAAAAAAGACACCCTGAAAGTTTGCAGGACTAGAATTCAAGTTTAGAAGTTGACACCCAAAAAGGCAAAAACTGACAAAGATAATCTTGCACAAAGAGTTCTTTGTAAATTTTTGCCCTTGTTGTTGGAATACCGATGAATCTCTAGTGGGTTCTATCTAACATTATTAAGCACACGAGTTAACCTAAATCAGCTAATGAGGCTAAATAGGGCGCAGGCATTTGTAGATGCCCACCTCCTGAGCCGGTGCCGGGTGGTGCGTGCTGCTGAACGGCTCCGACTGTGGCGGTGCCGCCGCCTCCCGATGACGGGCCAGCACCAGTGGCGGCATTGCCCACTCCATTATCCACGGAATTGGTCAACGACGCTCCAAATTTCAGTTGGGCTTCAGTAGCATCCATCACAGTTAACAACCAGTCCCATGTGGGCTTCAGACAGAATTCCAGATATATCTGGAAAGAAAACGTTCGATTTATTGCAACGAATTCATAATTGAGAAAATCCCTGCTGTTTTACTAGGTAGGATTTGCGAAAGTTCTTACCTGGACATTGGAAATATCATCCTGAGACACAGTCATGTAACACGAAGGTACTCCAGACGAGGTCGTACTTGTCATATTGGCCAGGAGATCTGCGATTTGTCGCACTACGATTCCTGAAGAAAAAAACAGCATTAATCCAACAAATTCTTGGTGTTGATTGGCCATCGTACCGAAAGCCCTAGCTAGACAACTGGCTGTAGTCGCCATAGTGATCGGCTCAGAGCTAGCGGCCACTGTTGCGCTTCCAGTTGTTGACCGTCTTAGTGAACTTGGGTCTATAAAAACCAAGTTGGATCCGTTAGCCAGACGGACGCCAGTGGACCGACCCGATTCTCTAGATCGGATGGCCCATTGCATGTTTTGTGGCGCCAAGTTGGAGCGTTGCCCTGTCCCTCCGGTTGCGGTGTTAAACCGGGTTCTTTGGCAAAAAAAAACAGTTAGAACTATTCATTTTTCAACTAACTGACATACCTTCGTCTTTCCAACTGTTCCTCAGTGATGTACTCTTCATTGTCTGGTTCATCGGTGCCGGCTTCGCTTTCTTCCTCCTCTTGCTGGCTGGATTCCCCGCTTTCATCTTCAGGGAATAACAGCATACCTCCTAATAAGTTATTTATAGTGCCAAAAATGATAATGTGAAGGATAGTTGCTGACTCAACCAAGAATTTCACTGACCAGTCCCCAAAATGAACGTTCTGTATGTAAACAATACAACAAGTATCCTTCTCAAGAGAAGCTTTTTTTTAATTTAATAAACCTGACCACCAACATTACTTGTTACTGTTTGGTTCTTTTAAACAATTCTCTATCATTAGCAGCAACTGTACTAACGTACCTGTATCGCTTCCGGCTGTTGCTCCAGTCTGCACTGACCTCTGAGCACTGGCGGCGTCTTGATTGCTGTGATTATCGTCGCTGTCGCTTTCAGTTTCCGCTAACAAATCCAGTTCAGGATCGGATTCTTCACCCTGCATCCGATTTTCTTGTTGATCAGATGGGACTTCCTGACTTTCGTTACCACCCATAGCTGCCACCTGTCTCACCAGATTCATTTCTCGCTCTACTTGAATGTCTTCATGTTCAGAAGTGGCGTCATCATCGTTATCAATTGCCATGCCTAAATCTACTGCCACAGTTATGTTCCATTCAGCTCAGGAATATTAGGTGATAAAACTTACTTTCTGGATCCACAATATTGTTATGCAAATCTCTGTCGGTCTGAGATCGGCGAATTGAATCGCTCAAATACGGAAATGAATCAGTGGAGCTTTGACTACTCTGACGTGATGTACTCGGAGCTAGCGGATCAACAAGAAATAGTTCCTCTGAACCCTGAAAATCGCGATTAATCGCCACCGGTGAAGAATGGAGCATATCAGGTTTACTCACGTTAAGAACGTCACTGGGCGATGTGGCGAGAGAAAACGGGGCTGTTGGTCTCGCCACTCCCAGTCGAACTGGCGCAATAAGAGAATCGGCAGTTTCACACAATTCCTCAATAGCTAGCTTGTTGAGGCACTGAAAAATCCGCTTGCACTTAACAAGAGGCAGGTTTTGGTTGTTTAGGGTGCGTTTTTTGGCCGAGGTAGGGGCCATTTCAATGCTGAAAATCACGAAAATCCTCACTACCGAACGAACGAATCTTCTGGCCACAAATGTGGCCAAATAGTTTTGCTTCTTTTCGGGATTTCTGATTTCTTTGATCAAAGTCTCAGCCACGATGTCGGTGGACATATGACACTTCACCAAGAAACAATGTGTGAATTTATCCAATAGTGTAGTACCTGATTGACCTGACACATAAGGATGGTCCGCGAACTGTTAACAAAACAAACAATTAGTTAAATGTTCTCTCGAACATTCTAACAAACTCCTTAAAATGAAAACTGAAATCCTAAACACTGACCTGCAAATCATTAGGATCTCTTGTCCCAGACATAATCATGCTTTTCATCGCCTTCCAATCAGACAAAAGACACTCCAGAGCTTTGCGACTGAACCTCGGAGGTTCCAAGTCATGTTCCGGCATATCAGATTCAATGTCTGACGAAGGCGTTTTATTGCGCGAGTTTGTGCGCGGTCTGGACTTACTGAATTGCCGCTGCTCTTGATTTTGTCGTCCCACTGTTTGTACGAGAAATAGCAAAATACTCTCGCCTCTAGAGTTCGGCAGACAAACCAGATTCGTTTCCTTAACTAGGCGGCTTAAGAGCTCGAATCGTACCGACTGATTTCCCATAATGAGAGCCTTGCACTTGCATTTTTCCCAACAGTCACAGTAAGCTGTCGGCGACGTACGTTTCAACTTACAGTCATGGCCTTTGTGACAAACCCGGGCGCATTCTGTGCAGCAGCACAATGTGCCGGTTAAGCCACAAGTTCTGCATTCGAAGATATCTTGATTTATGTGATCAGCTCCAGTCCAAGTAAAGCTGCATGTGTCGTTGCAACACAGCACATGTAGAGGGGAATGATCCGGATTTGAGCCTTTTGGAAATATCATTTCTTCGCGATCTTGCACGCTTCCTAGCTTGGTAATGCGCTCGAATATTTCCAAAGCGGCGGGGTAGCTGCGAGAGGAAACAGCCAACATAAATGGGGTCTGGCCTTGTGCGTCTTTTGCGCAAAGGAACTCGATGAGGTAAGTCTCGATTGTTGCTGACTCGTAGAGCAATGAGTGGAGGATTTGCATGGCGTGTGACCTTCTTTCCGACGGATCGATCACAGTGCTTGACATGCTATGGCTGTGGCTGTTTCCTTTATTGGCGGCACTACTGCCTAAGCTCATTATACTATCTTCATCGCCTGAAGCTACGTCGAAAGTTTCCGGTGGCCAACTTTGAGTTGGTATAGGATCCTCTTGAATGAACCTAATTGCATCTTCCTGTATGGTATCGTTATCTTTGTTTGAGGTGGGAGTGCACATGTTGACAATTGTGTGGAATATATTTCTATTTCCGTCGCACCTTTCCGTCAAGATCGAGGGCCTGATTAAGGCATTTATCTTATTTTCCTGGTCTAATTGAGTAAGAACCTGCAATTAAGGATCATTCTATAATAGAAAAACCAACTCGTAGTGAATGTTTTCAATCACCTGCCGCACGCCCTCAATATCGCACCTAAGAATTTTGGGCATCAACAGTTGCTGTTCTAAAGCAAACACGACAATCGCCACTTGGTTCTTCATGTTGAGGCTAGTTCCAGATAACGACATTGTACTGGCTGCAACACATTTCACTGGAGGCAAGTCTAAGAATTGCGGATCGCGAATTGCTTCAGCACAATCTTTGGCTAGTGGGTAGATGGTGTTGTTGCCATCGCGAAGAATCAAGATACTTTCGTTGCTCTGAGGAAGATTTTTTTTTAATTTGGTATTCAAAAACATAAACAGATCGTTTCACTTACTTCTCCTGCACAAGTCAAGTTTATCAACGAAGGGTACAGCCCCATAAAGGCGGCAGAATCACTGGGAAACGGATTGTCTTGTTCCACTCGGCCAGTACTGATGTTAAAAATGCAGTAGCTCAACTTGGAGCCATTCCTCACAACGGAATGGATACCTTGCCCGTCCACGGCAACGGTCAATATTTGCCCGATATTTTCGGAAATCGCAATCCTTCTAGGGGTGCGCTGGAAACAATCTGGCACTCTTGAGTTGGAACTGGATTTAATAACCTGCAAAGAAAAGCTTGTTTTTGGAACAATATTCTCACAAACCACCGCTCTATGGACTCACTTGTATTTCGTCTTTGCGCATTAATCTGCAGTCCTGGAGAATTTCGTCCAAATCCCGAGTTGTGTCTTTGTCTCGAGTTTGCACAGAGGGAAAACGGACCGCGGCGTAAGCCCCATCTACTTTCAATACGCGTCCTGTTGGAATATTACGCATATCTTCGACAAAAATCACATCACGAAGATGCCATTCTTCTTCATCTTTGCGTGTATCCATGTTGATGTCGGAAACTGTTACCACTAGCTTTTTTTGTCTCTCTGCAAGGTGTAAAAATTAATTTGAAACTACTCTCTGTATTTAATCATGAAATTAAAAGAACAAAAAGGAACAATTTATCGAAAAATACGTACTGTGACTGGTGCTTCCTGTATCGCTGCATGTACTGGATGCTGGTGATGGCGGTGGAGGCATGTCAAGGCGGTCGGTGTTTTCCTTAGTATTGGGCGTTTTCGAGTTACATGCTGCAATAGTGATTCAATAAATAAACAAATAAAAAATAATTCAGCCAATAGTGCTTACGTTCCAAAAGTACATCTTCTGCACGTTTACTGGTTGAGCCTTTCTTGAAACCATCTGAAATAAGATTGTAAATTATCTGACTAAAAGCGATTTGTTGGCCGGAGTAACTTACATAAACTAGCACCGCTGCAACCTGGCCGTTCTTCCCGGTTGATCTTTTCGACAGGATTCTGAGGCTGAACATTCATAATCTTAAAGGTGCATGTGTCGCTCAAACTCCAAGCAGAGTTTTGCAATTGACCCATCTTGGGAACGCCAGCTGAGACGGTAAAACCTGAAAAAAAATACGAATTCCAATTGAAATGAACACCAGAATTTAAATTAACTAGACGATTAGACTGACCTATTGCTCCAGGTTGGTACATGGGACTATTTTTCATGCAAACTTGGGAGCCAGTGACGATTTCCGACTGGTTTGACGAAGTTTGACGCTGTTTTCGACATTTTGCTCTGTATTTCTCCCACAAACGTTTGCGCTGGACAAAAGGCAGAACTCCCCTGGTATGAACAATAATCATTGATAAATCATTCCACCGCAGGGTGTAAAAAACTTACCACCAATACAAGGCGCCACTTTCTAGCTTGGAAACAGTGTACAATGGGCATGTAAATAATGCTGTAATTCGATCATTTTGAAATTCACTATAAGCTTGAGCGGCGTGCTCCAGCTTGTTGGCGGCTGGAGCCAGTAATTCATCAAGCCATGTCGCTACTTTTCCAGAATCGGTAGCAACTGAACAGCGGGTGGAGCAAGCCGATAGATGGAGTATTTTCTCGTTAGTCAAGTTGAGAGCTATCGTTTTTGGGTGATGTATATTTGGGTTCTACGACATTTTTTAAACTTCACATTTCAAGCATTGTGTACGGTCCTAGAATATACAAGAAAAGCAACAATAACAAACCTCCGGATGCTTGTAAGGTTCGTGCTCATTCCATTTCCATTGGTAGAGTTGGCCGTTTGATGACAAAGCAATCAACTCGCTGTATAACGTAGCAATTTGGCAAAATTTGGGTGCTGGTTCTGGCCAAAATTCTAGATCGTCCGAAATCCACAGGGGGCAAGCGCTGTCCTTTTTCTTATGGTCTGAAATAGTGGAGTTTTTTCAATGTTTTCCTGCACTGAGTCTTCGTTGCACGCTAACCTGAGTCTTTTTCGTAAGGGCTGTCCCTCAGCGCAGTTTCCAACCACTTGCGTGGACCAAAATATTGCCTTTCTCGCCACCTAGAAAATGTTTCACGATCGCGATCTTGGCCGGCAACAGCTCCAGGACCTGGAGCGGCGTCTCTTTCCAGCAAACGACTTCCACTGCGCGCACTGCCGGCTCGACTACCAAAAGCGCTTTTTTTAAATGACACTGCTTGACTCCGATGTGGATTCTAACGCGGAAATTAAATGCCGATGTTTTTTTGACTCACCTTCGAATTCCCGCATAACCAAACATATCCTCAGAAAACATTGCGTCTGCATCTATGATGACTGAATGGTCCGAATGAAACCCGCCGTCCAGAAGAGATATTAGATCTTCTGGTACGTAGGAATCAGCGGCGTCATCCACTTCCTCTCCTTCTTCATCGTCGCGTGAAAGAAGATTGTTGACTGCTAAATTAACGTCTAAATTGGTCCGCTGTGAACATTAGGGATAATTAAACAGTGGTTACTCTGTTGGATTTGTTGACATACCTGTAGTTCTCGAATGATCAAACTTCGGCTTTTCCCTTGTAGGACAACTTGGGCTTGAGATACTAACTCTTCGGGAACATACGGCGCTGGTACCGTAACCATGGGCCTTCCACTCCCCGAGGCGGACGTTCCTATAATTACTGGAGCGCCCCGGGTACCGGCTAATGAAGAAATATTGGTTAAACAGGGTATTTAATAGCGAAAATATAGTAGTCACCTCCATTGGATCCACCTCGGTTGGTTCTCTGGCCAGGAATGAGCCTAGTGTTGGCTCGGGTTCGACAACCACGCCCAGTGTTGGTCGGCTTAGTGCTACCAGTTCCTCCGCCTCCAGGATTGGTGCCAGATGCGCCACTACCACCACCAGAACTACGCAACAACCAAGATCTTTGGTTGCGTGGTAAGGTTGTGTTAGGAAAGGTCGGTTGTGTGCTGGTGAGAAATTCTTACTCGTGTGTATAACAATAACATTCGATTTTCAGTACAGTTAACACATTCATATCAGCAAGTAATAACGCACAGTACGCCATTACAGGCTTTCTGTAACCGACTTCAGTCAGAAATTCTCACTTACTTGCCATGCCAACTTTAAATCGCAACAAGTAAGAATGCTCAGTAACGAGTGCAAGCGACCCATATCAAGACAAATCACGCATTAGTGTTCGATACATCTAAGCGGAATGGGCTATTTGCATGCATGAGTACAAATTTGCATTGAGATTATTTGACTAATTCAGGGCCTTTCACATGTACTATTCAACAAGTTAGTAAAACCGTAGGAAATTTGCTATTTAAAACTGCTAATTTTTTTATTACGAAAGTTAGTAATTTGTAAAACCGTGGTTTGTTCGGGAGCAACCAAAAGCATTAATGATTATTAATAACAATTAATAACCTGAGAAACATTTTTCCCTATCGATTTTAATATTCATACAAATTTAATGTATCACATCAAAAAAGCATTAGTGAAAAATGGACCTTCTTAAAGTTCTCATTTGGCGATGCTAATCATTTAAAATCGAATTATCATTCCTAAATATTAAACCGCAAGACACTATTGCAGATTTTAAAATAATAACTGATTATTAATACCATATTTCATACTTGTCTGGCGACAACTCTACACAAGCGATCAGTTTATAAACTGGACAATATAAAAACCTTGTTTTTGCATATAATCCCCGCTACAAATCAGAAAATTTTTTAAAGTGCCGTTCTTGCGCGGGTTTCATATTGAGAAGCAGAAACTTCTTGCAAACGAAACAAAAAAAACTTCACAAAATTGTGGATTAAGACGGAGGCATTAAAAACCCAAAAAAAGCATGCAAGTAGCCCTGACACTTACCTTTTGGAGTCATTTTTGCTCAGGTCTAGTCGGTCAGGAAGAATGTTGTAGGAGACCCGACAAACGCGACCATCTTCCAATAATAAAGCAATGTAGGTGGAGGCAAGGCAAATCTTCTTGATTCCAAAAGGAAGATTGGATAGAGTTGGGTGCAAATTGTGTCCTAGACGGTTGATTCTATCTGCTACTTCTTTCAATCTGAAAATAGCAATTTGGGGGGAAATTTGAAACTATGGTCAAAAAGCGCCCGAACTAAATAAATCAGGGTTATATCAACGCTATTCAGTTCAGTTTTGCTATGAAATTTAATTCCAGAAGGAAATAAAAGTGTGTTTATGAGCACAAAATATGCAATTTTTTTCATGTTTTTACTTTATTGTGTCGGCCACTCCAGATCCATCCCATTGTTATCCATACATATTCGACTACCTCCTTTGCTTAGCGCTTATATGAAATAATTAAATGTGATCCAACAAAAACTGTTAAAATTTCAACGGCCCATTTGGGGCCAAAGTCCTGGTGCGATTTCACAGTCAGTCCGGGTCGAAACGTAGATCTGCGCCAAGTTTTTGCTCAATATTGGAGCAAATTAGCTCTGAATCTTCGATTGCTGCTCAGATCGCATAAACAAATCCACTCGGACAATTTTTAAACTTCGACCTTAATTCGATAGGTTTGTACCAAATATCCCGGAATTTATTCGCGGACAATTCGTAGAGGAGGAATAAACAGTGAAGAACAGCCAGATACTAAATTGGTGTTAGGTATCATAGATGAACGTTTAAGGATTTCAAATTACGCATGCGACACCAACACTGCAGAAGCTTCAGGACAAAAACAGACTTGAAAACATAAAAGAAACGTTGAGATTCACTTAAATACATAATAAACTACTTCAGTATCAGTTGTTATTCTTTTAGTTACACAAGAAAAACAGATAATTTGAAATATTAAACATTAACAACTAGTTCAAACACGTTTGTTAATAGATGAACAGAAAGAAAAAGATCCAGGTCGGGATTCAGAAACATCGATGTGTACAAGCTGCCGACTGTTTGGATCAACATAAAGGTTTTGAAAGCATGAAAACGCCTCAATCCTTAATAACTTGTCTGCACTAAGCCGAAAAATATGAAGTTTTCCCAATTTAGCCCACGTGCATCGCTAATAGAAAATTTCCAGGTAATTACCCAGGCCCTCGCTTTAGCGGTTAACAATACATCTTATAGGAAAGCCCTTTGCCAACAACTTTTCTTAGTGGTCTTTTTTGGGGAAATTCGGTTTTAACCACTTTTCATTCATTGAAATGCATGCGGTCCTTTGTTATTTGATAAAAAAATAAATTTTCTATAAGGTAGGCACATTGCTATAATCACCGAAAATAGAAAAGGAGCAGTTTATAAGCTCCGTTTCAGCTGCTGGCATTGAAATTAAGCATTGGCGAATGGGCATCCAATGAATAGTCAAGAAGAAGCACTAGCAATGCAGCCCAATTAAACCATCAAATTTAAATGCGCCCAAAACATTCACTAGTTCCAGCATCCAAAGGGCCCCATGAATGTTTCAAGGCTGCTTTGCCCCAACTAGTAACTATAGAACTTTTCCATGCGGTTCCAGACAACCATGCTAATGTTACCCAAATTTACACAATAACGTCGAGAATAAATTAGGGCGAACCCCGTGTCGGATAAAATCATAACCTTTGAATGATAAAAATTTTCCATTTAGCTAGACGATCAATTGACGTGGGGGTGTAAAGGAGGCTCAAATACTCAGGAATAAAACTGGGTTTTTCACTGCAGTTAATTAAGGGGTCAGGGATTGGATTACAGGGCCTTGCCCCTAAAGCACATGCTCACTAAGCAGCCGAAATGAGCATCGATGAATCTGTCAGAACAGCACCTGCAAGTAGGCTTGCTGGCCCAGATGGGGCAAAGTACCTGCTAGAAATTCGCCCAAAACCACCCGAAAAAACAGCTTAAAAAGCCCGTAAATCGTTGAACGGAAACGGGAAAGCAATCCCCAACAAGGCATCCTTCATTTTACGTTTCTAAACGACAGCAAAACGAAAATGGAGGAGACAAGAAGTTTCCTTCATTGCTAGAGAATTGGAAATTGCCAGTACATTTACCTGTCATTAAACTGCTCCTCAGTACCCGGCAGGGGATGAACCACATACTGTAGGGAACTCATTTCCTTTGAAAATTCGAAATAATTCACTTGGAAAGGTTTTCAAACCCCGCATACATTTCACCGAACTGAACTGCTGAACACCACGAAGTTCGGTCCGGAAATTTATAGAAATGACACTAGTGACAAGTGGGCAGTCGTTGCGACTGACACTTGAAGTTAGCTATGCGCGGTTGTTTCAAAATTTGTTTGACTACAAGCTAGTTTTAATTGGATTTACGTCGAAAATTTAAAGGAAAAACTTGTTACCATCAGTGGTTTTGCTAAAAAACGGTTTTATAACTGCTCTGTTCAGGTGCAACGGTCAAATGCGTTGATTCTACCTGAGTATAAAGCTAGCAGTGCAAGTGCGTGTTTATTAACAAGTTAATGGGGTTTTTTGAAATAAATTGTAATTTCCATTGAATATATTGGATGAAATAATGTCCCAGTAGTTAAATTTCATACCTCAAAACTGCATGGGCGCATTAAATCGGCTTAATCTGCTTGAAATTTACAGTGCGCCAACTTGCGCTTTTGAGCTACTGAAGTTCAAATTAGACACTGTTTTTCCTTTTTTTTCAATTAAATTTGAGGGCCCGGTTTAAAGAACCGTTTAAACACACCAGTCGGTTTCAAAAAAATGGCTCGTGTTTTAAAAAATAAATATTTTTTTAAAGTTCAAAGTCTTTTAAGTTTTATATTAATTAACCGAGTTTAATACATTCTTTGTAATTTCTAGCTTCGTTCTTTGGCATACATTAAAAAGGGAAAGAAATGTTAAATCAGTGTTTTCCATGGCTCCGTGTTTTCCTCATTATTGGCCATAGACAATAAGGAATCAAATTTTCTTACGCTTAAAAGAATAGAAAAAATTTAAAATTAAATCGGTTACAAAAATCGGTCACAAAGATTGAATACTTTGAACAGGTTTTGGCCTTTGGAACAATTTTATTAATTTTAAAGTATTTTTGACTGATTTAAAAAACAAAGACGCCGAAACCATACATTGAAATTCAAGCGGGCACCTTAAATTCAATCTTTTCACGGGAAGCTGAAGAGATTAACGATTTTTCGTTGTGGCACTCAAAGAATGTTTGTTCCATTTTACCAATTTTAATTTACAATTGACTGGAAAAACCAGCTTACTTTCTAACTAAAACAACGATTATTTTTACCAAAAATCTCTTTGAAAATGAAGCACTGCTTTTTTAAGATTTAATGAACGTTCTTTTGAATAACTTAAAGCAAATATTTAATTGCTTATTTTAAGCAACACATCAAATTTCTACTTATAGATGAAGACAGAAAGAGAGGTGAATGGGAAAAATGGGTGATTCTTGTTCCGCCAAAATGTCAAAAATTTCCAAATTTTTACTTTTTCGTGTTATCCCCTGGGTTCATATTTGAAAAAAAAATTTTGAACTTATTGTCACATTAGGGATAAATATACAAGTCCGTATTTAAAAAAAAATACTTGATAATGGCCGGGATAGAAACATTCAGTTGCAGATCTGATAATACAATTTGGTGGGGAAATAAAAGTTTTTCTAAGAACGTGACAATTATTTGAAAATAACCCCTGAAAAAATGGTTTGAACAAATTTCAGAATTTTCGAACATTTCTGGATATAGTGAAAAATTTCTAGGTTTTAACACTATTTTGATCAGCATCAAAATGCGCAACTTTTCCTCATGTCTCTGCCGATTTGTACACCCTGTACTGTATTTCAAAAAGGACACCCGGTATATGTTAAACTTATTAAAATCCCATACATCTTATCTCGCCATCAAGGTTGAAAAGAAACCCACATGGAATTCATGCGTCTTAGATCAGCAGGCAAATTAACATAGTTTGCCATAAACAAGCGTCTTGAATTAGTTATTCTTTTGATTTTAATTAGTTTGCCATCGTTTTTTTTGCGGATTAATTGTTTTTTATATCCGTACTAGGTGAACACGAATATGCGCAAATCGATAAGGACTACCATGAAAAATATGAAGCTTCCTTTCTGATTTGCCTGGTACACTGCAGGGTCGTGTTGGGATTTATTATTATTTATAATTGTCATCGGGATTTCCTAACAGCAGTTGAATAATTTGGTTTAGTACAGAGTGCTAATTTGTTAATGTTTCTGCGAAATTGTCCAGATAATTATTAGCTGTTCGATTTTGCTAAAACTATTATCGCATATTTTACAATATTTCTGGTTGTTTTTTTTGTGGAATTTCTTCTCAGTACTCGCATTTGATAACGGATAAAAATAGCTTATATTATAAGGAAGGAAAACAACATTGTTAACATGTATTTAGGAAAATCAATTAAGGTTGGCATCATTAAATGGAGTCGAAAACAACATCAACAACATCTATAAGCAGTTGTTTCTTTTTCCTAATCTGTCTGTTTGTCTATGACTTTTCCGGTGAATATTAGGACATTTTTATCTGCATATTCAAAGACTCGCAAAGGATATTCGGGGATCACACTCTTCTTAGTTCTTCATCTTTTCTTCCCAGATCCATCAATCCATTCCTCCAGTACTTGGGCATAAAACTGCACAACGATACGCATTTTCTTTGCTTCTGCTTGAATCTTTAATCTTCTACATCGTCTAGGTCGCATTGTGATCTAATTGCGCCTCACTTTAGAGTGTTAATCGCGTAAAAACCATTAACTCGAAATACTCCAGGGCAACTTATTGCAGTGCAGTGGCTAAACAAGTTCTACTTGATCTCTTGGCACTTTTTGAGGACAATTTTAAAGTGCGTTCTTCTTACTCAATGATACTTCATCAGCCTAAATTTTCAGAAATTTGCTTTAGCCAGTCTGCATATATTGACGTCTCCAATTGCGCCAGAATTCCACTAAATCTTTCATTGGCCTGTAATTCATTCATAACTGTTCTTGACCCTATTAGTATTCAGCGAAATGAAAAAAGTCTAGATGGACCGATAATATGGTACTTCTGATGCTGAGAGTCGATTTGAATGATTCTACAGGACGGCACCGATGAAAACCTAAGAATCGCCCTAAACGCAGTTACCGCGATTGATAGCTGATTACCTACTAAAATGAAACATTCAACTTTTTAAAATTCCTGATAATGACTTTGTTCACGTTTATTCAAGGTAATTCCATTACTTTCAACCTTCACTTCCTTCCCATTTTCGAGTTAACTTATAGAATTGTTTTGCTTTAATGGAACGTTGTTCATCCTGTTCAACTGGTCCGTCCACTCATTCAAAACGATATTAATGATCATATTAAAGTACATGACTCATTGTGGTCACTCCCAAGCTTGTTAAAGTTCAACGTAGGTAATTTATTTACATCATAGTTAGCGGAGGTCCATCCATGTATATATCGAGAAACCGTAAAAAATCACTTATCGAAAATTGAGGTAAAACCCATCTGGTTTTTGGGTATTTTTGAGTGTGAAATATTAGCGCTCACCATTAATAAATCTTAAATACATCCGTGACTTTAATCAACTTATTTGTTATACATTAAAGGTGAATATTGTTAAACAGCAATTTGTTTAACGGCATTAATGGATATTAATGTTCAAGCAAAATGTTGCGTTGTTAAGTTTCACTTTTCGTTTTTCGCACCCATACCAACCAGGAAAAATAAGGAAATATGAATCAAAATTGAAAAACCAAACGAGAATATGATTTTAGGTACAACATAAGACGTTTCATTTTCTCGAGTTTATAAATTGAATAATTGTATAAAAGAACGCTCTATTAGCAATCTATTAATATGTTTGCTTTAAAAAATCAAACTAAAATACATTTGATCCCTCCTTTTTGCGTTTTTGGCTGGTAAATAATTATGAGGGCTTTTAGCGCCGTAAATACCACGTTTTTTTCCTTCAGATGCTTCAATTTGCCAATTTTCAACAATTTTTTTGAAGAACAATGAAACTTTCAGAATCACTGAAGCCGCAAAAGTATAAAAATTCAACCATTACGCGAAGGAAATATTTTTGCGCAGCCTATTAAAGACAAACATAAATTGTACTTAAAAGCATGTATTAATTGCTGTTTCTATTTCTTACTGAGTTAAATCACTGTCCAAATATTCCAAATTTTCGTTTTTTTGCTAATTGCTATTAACAACCTTTCTAAATTTCATCAGACTATGAAGCTTCAAAGGCTTCAAAGCCCGGAAAACATTCCTAAATGTTTCTAAATTTCCTCAGCTTGACTGCAGATTAAAACGCATTTATATCTTACAGCATGTTAAAAATACCCGTTTATGAACGGACAAAGTAATCACCAAATATACAAAAAACTTGTACAAGAACCAATAATATAAAGCAAAGAACAATTATGAAACTATTGAGTTTTTAAAACCCGAAAAACCCATTAGTTTCGAGGAATGGCCTCGAAAGTCTATCTCTTGTGATAAACAACAATTATATCAATTTTCCGTAGACTTAAAGTATGCTTAAACGACACTTTTGAAAGCAACGTTCTTTAGAAAGACCTAATGTTTGTTTTGCTTCTAGTTTTTCAGATATTTTTAAACAGTTATTTTAGCATTTTTTGCAAGCAGTAATTCCCGAACTAAACATTTCCGTCTGCAAAATGCTCATAGCAAATATGAAAAGCATTGATATAAAAAGTTGCTTTTTTACAATGTGGTAAATATGACTTTACAAGTGAACATTCCCTATCTTTTGCAGGCTTTTTTTAGAAAATCGTAACTTCCGAAATGAAACATCTCAATAGTAAATTATCTCAGCAAATAGCAAAAGTATCGAAACAAAAAATGTACCAAAATCCCACTTCAAATTTATCTTTTTACAGCGTGAAAAGGATGGCATTCCAAGTGGACACTTTCATCCACTTGCAGGCTTTGTTTTAAAACCGGTAACTTCGAACTTGGACCAGATGGCAATGCGAAATTTCAGCAGTGCATAGAAAAAGTAACGGGCTGAAAAGTTTGAAAAATACAAGAAAAGTCCACTTGAAATTGAGTTTTTACCGCGTTAAAAAGATGGCTTTCAAGTGGACAGTTCCATCCAATTGAAGGCGTTCTTTGAAAAATCGTAACTTCCGAACTCAAATTTCTCTCAACGAAAAATTCTCACAGTGAACAGGAAACAACATGAGTCTGAATAAAATTGGGAAATGCAAGAAAATCCTACGTCTAATTGATTTTTCGCACCGTAAAATAATATGGATTTACAAGTGGACATTTGCATCCATCTACAGACGTTCTTTTAAACAATTTGAATGCGCCACTGCGAAATTTTAACAGCAAATAAAAACAGCATAGATATAAAAAGTGTGAACAAAACAAATCGCAATTCAAACTAGTTTTTCACAGCTCGACAAAAACGGCCTTACAAATTGACATTTTCATCCATATGTGGCCTTAAAAATCGTAAGTTTCGAACTCCACTACATCGCAATGCAAAATTTTCACAGTGTATAGACTAGAGTTTGAAGATTCTGAAAAAAATATTCCACTTCAAACTAGTTATTTACAGCCTGCAAAAGGTGTCTTTCCAAGAAGTGAACTCTGCAGGCTTATCTTTAAAAAATCGCAATTTCCGAACTGAAAGTCAGCCCAAACCGAAAAGTTCTTAAAATTTTCATGAAATCTCTATTCATCATAATTGCGCCGAGCATGGAAAAAATGGAACTGCTTGAAAATTAGTCAAAGTAAAGTTGAGGCGCCTTTTGGTTGAATATTTTGGAATATTCGGAACCGGAACTCCTTCAAGTTTGCAAGGTTTTCTGGGAAAAAATCACATTTCGCCCATACTCTTTGCCTAAGCTCAAACGATTATTTTGCATGAATGAAAAAACATTTTTCTTTTACAACCTTTCTCTGCCACCTCATTTAACATACATTTACCCGTGCTTAACCCATCTACGGTTTCACTCTCAGATCCGGTACTAAGAAATAATGTAGGAAGACAATGATATATTGTGTCCTTTCCTAGTGGATTAGTTATTCGCACTATTGCAAAGTATGACAAATCGAACCGCAATTATATCGATGTCCTTTAAGGAATATGCTTTTATTTGCCTGCCAAGGCAAAAGCAATTTTTACTTTGTCCAAGTCTAAAAAAATCAATGAAAAATATGCTTTTTTGCAAAACTTCTTCGATGCATTCCACATCGGCTAGTTCATTACATCTGAGCACTTTTCCCCGAACCCTTGCGTCCGGTTCCTCTTTGGAATATCCAAGGAGGCTCTTGCAGCAAGACCAGTTCTACAACGTGTTATAAATAGGTGGGACATCAAGTTCACCCAGTCAGTTGAAAGAACATTTTGCGAAGCGCCAGTTTATACGGATCGGTTACCATGAAACACCCTGTGTCATTGTTGGTGGTGCTTGTAGTGGTTGTGCACGCCTGTAAGTGTTTAGTGTTAGTAGATAGTTGAGGAGGAGCGAGTGGATGCATGAGTGCCAGGGTTTTTGCTCGTTTAAAGCACAATCAATTTGATGGTTTAAAGGTTGCTTCCTCATAAATATTAATTCTTCCTACGCAGATTTTCGTGTAAATAAACAATAGGCGGTACTTATCACACGGATTTGCCATATATTATCATCACTCTCTGGTAAATCCATATGAGACCAGTCTTGAAACTTGTTATTTGCCGACCGTATAAATAAATTAGATATCAGGGTCTTCGAGTAGTCTGGTCGTGAATTTTCGCGTTGGGGGTCAACGGAATACCCATTGAAATTAGTGAAAGAACCATGGGAAAGAAATTGTTGGAACCCTTTCTGGTGCTGATGCTAACTGGGATCTTGTGTAAGTGAGGCGCATCACGCGTTACCTACCTACTAAAAAGACATTAATGGCTAGTTGCGGCGATAATTCCATCAAACTGGTTTGCGATGCAAATGGCGTTCTAAAACGGTTCAAGTGCACAGTCATGTATTAAACATTTTCTTCAGTTGCGTGATTTAGAGCAAAATTTGGAATTTCCCACTTGTTTCAGGCCAGGCGCACGTCGTACCGCAGCCCCTCACCGCTAGCTTCAGTAAGTACTCAACTCCTCTTGGTCCCCTCACCGGCTTTACTAACTGCTTCTACTCTTCCAGGTGGATCCTCTTCTTCAGCCTCAGGTTTGCCACAGTTAAAACTCCCTTAGAAACAGGTCGGGAACTAGTCGATTTTTGCAGCATTCAGTCAGGCCAGCTCAAGCTCCTACAAGTTCGATGGCAACGTGGATCCCCAGCAAATCGAGCAGCTGAAACACGCGCTAACTGCCGGAGCTGCCGCTCATGCATCTGCAGGTGCAAGTGCTGGATCTGCAGCTCAAGCGGGAGCTGTAGCTGAAGCTAAAGCTGGAGCTGCTGCTGGTGCCGGATCGCTGAGTGGAGCCACTGCGGCTGCAGGAGCTGCAGCAGCAGGCAGCTTAGGAACAGGTACCCGATTTGCAAAGTTTCGCTTAAGGTGACCTTCGCATTTAGGCGATTGGACCGCTGCAAACTGGCCAACCCACATAATTGATATTCCGTGGTTATTTGGTTATTCAAGGTGTGGATGCTTAGTAACAAATTTTGAATGCATTGATGTTGCACGTTGGAATCGAAAGATTCTTGCCTGTTTGTCATACTTAAGAAGCAAACCATCAGCAACTTCCACAGAGTGTCGCTTCAAGTACAAAAAATTATTTTTGATAAAGTGAAGTAGATCAAACCTGAGGGCCCTTTAAGGGGCAAACTCCAATATACAAAAAGGTTTTTTTTAAATTCAAAATCATTTTAAGGCGTTACTGATGTTGCTTCAACTGCAATTTCCCATATCGCGCTGTACCTACACCTGATGTAAAGCTAGCAACAACCTGCTGTAAACGATAAAATTTTTAGCTCAGCTTGACTAATACAGTTTTTTTGTTCAATCCAGAACATGAAACAAACTCGATCAGCGAACCGGCAGTACCAGTGGATGCCGGTAGCTACAAATCCATAGGATCCGACAAGTACAGCACTGGATACTCCAGTGGGGCAAAAACCAACTACGCAGTCAGCAACAACTACGTTCACGGATCCCAGAACTCCGGTATGTTTAGCAAAACCTCAAGCTCTTTGAGCCATTTTTCTTGATGTACATTGTTTCACCCAGTGGGAGGCTGTGCGACTTGCAAAGGTCCATTCCCAGGCCCAAATGGCAGCATCCACGACTATAAGCTCGCTTCTTCAGTGCCCGCCCTCGCAGGAGCTCAATCAGGACAGCAAGCGTCTGCTGGAGCCGCTGCTGTTTCTCACCAAACGTCCACTACTTTTCCCGGAGATTCAGGGCACATTTACACCAGCAAACCAGTCACAGAGCATCAAGGGGCAGGGGCTGGATCTTCTGAGTATTCGGGATCAGGTCACGTTTCTTCTGGCTTGATTTCTTCATTTCCCGGACCAACGGGAAGCATCTACGACAGCAAGCCAGTAGGAGCTGCAGCTGCAGCTTCATCCGGAGCTGCCTCTGGAGCCTCGTATGGTGCAGGATCAGGTGCAACTTCTGGCTCCTCTACATCTTCAGGCTTCTGTAAGTTAAGCTCGAAAACATGCAAAAAAATGTACTTAGAATAGCTTCACACACGCTTCCAGCTCCCCCCTGCTCATACTCTTCTGGAAGTTCAAACTGCGGCGTTGCCCCCCACTCAAATCCCCAGCCAAATGCTGGATCTGGATTGTCGGGGATTATTGGGGTTCTGCCTGGCCCATCTGGCAGTATCCACGACAGCAAACCTGCAGTAGCTGGTGCTCATGGCGCTGCTGCAATTGCAGGTAGGCTAAATGAGGGTGTTCCACTGGCGCAGAATTCTGAAAGTCTGTTGGATTAGGCAGTGGAGCCTACAGTGGGTCTGGATCATTGACCGGCGGCCATTCTGCTGCTGCAGCTGGAGCCGTAGCTGATTCTGGTGTCGTTGGGGGTTCCTATGATGGAACAGGCTCGATTACCAACAACCCCACTACTCACTCAGCGTCCAGGCCTGTTTCTCAGGTCAGCTCAGGAGCAGTTTCTCAAGCGAGCGCAAGTGCCAGTGCTCAAGGAACTTCTGAAGGTAAATTCTAGCTACTGTCTTATGGCGAGAATTTGCAATTTTTTTGGTTATAGTCAATGGTCCATTCCCAGGACCAAGTGGAAGCATCCACGATTACAAACCCGCTCCAGTCGTAGGATCAGGCTACTCTGGATCAGGGGCTCAGCCTGCCTGCAGTTACACCCCTGGTTCTCCAAATCCTTGCTCCACTGGAGGTTCTTCATATGGATCGTCTGGGAATGTCGTCAAACAGCCCGTTTTGTCTGCTGCTGGATCAGGCTCATCAACCGGCTCATACGGTAAGTCGCGGATTTCCGGAAAAAATCACGGGTTCCTGCAACTGATTCTCCTCCACGCTTAGATGCAGGATCGTCAAGTTCATCAGATTACAGTGGATCAGTCAGCAACATTCCAGCGTCGCACCCAGTGGTAGGGCCAGCATGCAGCTACACGCCTGGAAGTCCCAGCAAATGCAGTGGAAAGGGTTGGAGGCTCCAAGACCCAACCGTATAACCGTGTGCTTAATGAGTGTTTTTCGATCTTAGAAAGCTCCGTATCAGCGCCTTCAATTCACCCAGAATTGCCATCGTCAGGGACTTACTACGTGAATAAGCCATCTGTAGATGTGGAGCCTCCACTAGTGGTTGCTGCGCCTAATTTCTCCAGTCAGTACCCTTGTGTGGACAGCAGTTGTGGAACGGTACAAAACGGTAAGCAGATTGAATGGTAAAACTGCACTCTAAAAATGCTAGACGCATGTAATTGGGAAAAGTTAAAAGTTGAGCTTGCAAATCCCTCTGCAGGTGCCGAAAGCGATGCCCATGCTGGATCTGGAGGATCTGGGGTAATTTACGTGGATCACAATCAAGAGGGACAGTATCAAGGTATGGATGGTGGAAGAACTCCCCTGTTTTTGTGACTGGTAAATGCTCGGTTTAGGTGTGAACCACGACAGTGCTCACCTATCTGGAGGTCTGGTGTTCCAAAATGAGGACGGAACGTACAGCAATGCGCCCATTGCGGGAAACCCCATCTACAAGAACGCGCAAAAGGGGGGATATGCTGTCAGCTCCAACGAAGCTGATAACACTGGAATTTTGATCGGTAAGCTGTTTTGCGGCTAGACCTGTTTTGAGGACTTTTCATCAATTCAGTCACCTAATTAGGACCAGGAACTGGACAACTGCCGGTGGAAGCTGACGCGAAGCCATTTGGAACCCAAGGGGCTTTTGGAGGTTCCGCTGCTTTTGCTAAGGACGCTAGTGGTAGCCAAGGGCTATCTGGAGGAGTTAGTGGTGGATTTACCAATAAAGCTCAAGGTATGGTGACTAAATTGGCTTAATTTATAAAATCTACAGTTGTTGATTGCAGTAACTAAAGGGTTTTTGTTAGCATACGTTAAATCATTTAATATACTCGTTACTTAGAGGATTCTGATTGCCGTACTTTGGAACACAATAGATTTTTTAGTTTGCAAGTTTGATACAAGAAATTTGTAGCTAATATTCGCTACTTCGGCTGAAAACCTTTAATGGATTCGCGTGTTTTTTAGCAATTTCTGGAAGTGGAGCCTCAAGCGGGCACAACTATGGCGCTGCTAATCAGCAGCATTCAACCAGTAGCTCCGGGGCTTTAGAATTCGGATCAGAAATCACTCCAGTCAAGGAGCAATGTTCTTCCTGTGGAGACACTGAAGTAATTGCCGCAGAACCAATTCCCTCATCCTCACACGCAGGAGCAGGAGCTTCAGGATTTGCGACTGGTCACGTCCTCTTGAACCAAGGAAGTAACACTTATGATGTAACGAACGCTGGAGCGTACTCGGGAAGTTCGCAGTTTGGATTGCCTGGTTGTGGCAGCGGAAAGTGCAGCTTTGGAGGCGGAAGCTATGGAGGAGCGCAAGCAGGCGGGATTTTGGAAAAGCTGTTCGGTGGTGGAGGATTGTCTGGAGCAGGTTTCAAACAGTTTGGAAGTCAAGCTGGAAGTGCTGCGTATTCCAGCTCAGGATCGTACTCCGGAGCCAGTGCAGGTAAGCAATGAAGAACATCCTGGGAGCAATTATGAATGGGAGATTTATGAATTTTTTTATTGCAGGTAGTTTTGCAAGCGCCCAGGCCGGAGCCTCCGCCAGAGCCCAAGCCGGATCTTATGCCCACAGCTATTAACCTAATTTATTACGTCCTTACAAAATAGCTGAAAATGTGTGATTACTTTGAATTGTAAAAGAAAAGACTTGACTTATAAATACATATTTTTAATTTAATTTATTTGCGTTTTATTTATATTCAATGGGTTGATTTTGACCTAAGAAGCTTCCTCAGGGATGCATATGCAGGCATATACATTATTTGGGTCTTTAATAAGAAAATTATTGTCCGTTAAAGTTGTAGATCGTGAACGCAGAAAACCTGCTGGATGAACAAAAAATTTTCATTATATCGGATCTAAAGCATGTAGTGTGTTTTTGAAATGACAACTTTTTATGGGCGGGTGAACCGATTCGCGCCTGGGCCGCACATATACACTTTGAATTCGACATTTTTTTCTTAGTGCGAGAGCATCTGTAGATCTGATAAACTTTTCGAATACACATTGCGTTATTAAACTGACAGTGATTTTGATGTATCAATTATTAAGTGTGATATCATTGTGTTCAGTGCAGTTTATTTTATAACACTGATAATAACGAATCAACAAATTATCAAGAGAGAAGCTGCAGATACTGCAAACACTAGGTTAAAGGTGGTCATGTACTAAATGTCTGTTAGTTTCGCCTTCTGTTAAATTTCCAATGAAAGTACACACACAATTATACACACTAAAGCAGTTTAAGTGCAAAAAAATGCGAATCGTCCTTCAATTTGAAGAAAAATGTATTACAAACTTTTGAAAATCATCTTCAAACGACCGGGTATTTATCATTGCAAATGAGATTGCACATTGCCGTGTACTGTTAAATATTGTTTTAAGAACTAGCCATCGACGTTGGGCAACAAAATTGTGCCTAAGATTCACTACAATAAAGTTTTTGAAAAACTGTTGGACCTATTTTAAATCGCCTGATTGATTGTGGACGCAAATTCGTATCAAGAAAAGATTAAATTAAATTAAATCGTATCGATATAATCCCGGTACCGAATCCCTATGTCTTACTCTCCGCCTGTAGTTCAGATGCTGCCCATTGATGATGTCCATTTGCATTGTATTGCACGATTGAAAGTTCTGATCGCGTAAAATATTACTACCTAGTTGTTTAGTGATTTTTATCGGAGACAATTGTTAAACCAGATGTTGAGCGGACATTTTCTAAAGAAGGCAGGGTCAATTTATGAAAAGCGCTCAAGATTAAGTGCAAATAAAGTGTCACAACTATTATTAATAACTTTTAATGCAATAATATGTTGTATTATTTGTTATTTTATTTTGTAACAACAAATAATCAATATTTAGATATATATTTTGTAATATTTTATATTTAACATAAAATGATAAACGTCATTACTGTTTCGTAATAATATATAATAAATATGTTTTCAATTTAATTGAAAAAATATTTGAGTTTACCTCGGTTATTTCAGAAAACATGGGTTTCGTCTTCTTATTTTCTATCACGCAACGCATTCTTGATGTTAAGACGATACGAATCTCTCTTCAGATTATAGTTGCAAAATATGTAAAACGAATTTATTAGGGCTTATTTTCAATTCTCTATATTATTTCTATGATTAATTGTGTATACCACGCTTCAAAATGGATTTTTCCCCTCATATACCCTTTGATTATTTTATGATTAAATCTTCTCAATTTAGTTAAATTTTTTTAGCCTGGGATTAGTTCAGTTAGAATTTTTTTGAACATACGCGCGATGGCTTACATTATGTTTGCATATAGTATATCATGGCTCTATAGCTCTTCCTCGTTTTACCGACAATTTTAAACAGATAGAACGTCTTCCAATCACCAAAATTAATTGATTTTTTAGTCCTATTCAGATACAAGTTGGAGCAGACGTTCATGAACAACATACACAAGAGCAGTCACAAAAACATGCTCCAATGCGAACAGTATAAAGTAATGCTGAACGCTGAACGATTTCGTGCTAAAAAAGAGCATTAAGTAATAGATCAACTCAAAGTAGCTTTCATCAACCACACACTAGTGCTGAACGTCAAAGATTATACAAAGCAAATAAGAAATTACGACTGAAAAATACAGAAACTCAAGAAGAAGAGTTTACACAAACCCAGCAATACGTACATCTCGTTAAAGAATGTTAAATGTTGCAAATAAAAAAGATATTTTACATTCAAAAGGAAATTAAATTAAACTTTACCTATTCCTGATCCATTTATAAATTATTAGACTAACAAGAATATTAAAATTTTAAAATAAAATTATTATTGCCATCATGCGTTAAACAAGTTCAATATTTTATGGTGTCTATTAATTTATGAAGTTATCACTTCTGTCTAGCGTCCCGTGACGCACACCGTTTTTTTTTGTATTAAACTCGTTATATTTCTCGTTTCTTGATAAAAACTTGATCAATACTATATTTTTAGAATCATTTTGGAAAAATATCAGTCAAAATTTTATATGCTTGTTTTTGAGCTCAATGGTTTGTTTCCAACCTAAGAAGCTCCCCAAAATGCATATACATAGAAAGTGTTTGAATCTATAATAAGAAAAATGTTGTCGCTTATAGATCGCGCCACTCAAAAACAGCTTAAAATGAAACAAAAATATCGACTGTTTCGTCGCCTTCTTCGCTTCTTTGAGACGAAAATGATTTAGAACTTGGTTTTACTAAACATACGGTAAAATACTTTACTAGAACACCTACATACGCAACTGAACTAACGACCAAGACCTGTTTGTTCTGTAAGCCAGGAATTTTTTTTATCCCTGTTTAGTTTATACCAGTGTACGGAATAGGAATTAATTTTAGAATAAGCTAGGCTAAGACACATATGTACTACTCAAGGGCAGAAAGACCGATTGGGGCGATAGCCTTTTTCTATAGGATATAAAGATTATTATTATATATATAGACTATTTTTCAAAGGTTCGGAAATAATGGTCAAAGACGCACCAGGAGCAAAAACTACCACTCAACAACTTGCGATACTTTTATTGAAATAAATAATAAATACTAGCTTAATTTGGTGTAATCTACAGTCATGGCCGGGACACTTAGTATTTGGCAACTGGAACAGCTACCAACTTCTTGTAAGCTGGGGCAGCAACAGGTTCGCCTTGCCTTTCCACTACTGCGTTAAAACCGTGTCCTTCATCGGAGTACTTGACCACTCGTACAGTACCATCAGCTTCATGAAGCGAGTACTGTCCAACCACTTTGTCTCCTTCGCGGTGTTCTTGCTGAGAATGGTAGTCGCCAGTGTGGGAGTCTTCCACCACATAAGCGAACTCGTATTGGGCTGGGCCGTATTCCTCCTTTTGAGCGTAGCTGGGGCCTGGAGCGTACTTGGCTACAACGGGGACAGCGACTTTGGAGTAAACTGGAGCTGGAGCATAGACGGGAGCGGGAGCGCTGTAGTAGCTGGGAGAAGCGATTTTAGCTACGGGAATGGCTACTTTGGCTACTGGGGCAGGGACAGCGTAGACGGGCTTAGCGGGGATGGCGTATTTTGAGGGACCAGCAGACAGGACATGTTGAACTGAGTTGTGGTTGTCGTTGAAAGACACAAAAGAAGTAGCTCCCTGGTCAGCAGCCGCAGCTACTGCGATGAGGGCAGCGATGGCAAAGAACTGAAAAACTATCATTAAACCCCCATACTTTTTAACTAGTAAAAAAACTTACTTTGAACATGTTGCTTGGTGGTGGTTGTTCGGTAACTTCGACTTGAACAGTGACTACCAGAGCGTTTTTTCCCGCTTATATATGAAAATCTCTACATAAGTGCACCACGCCCGCTCCCTCTACGCCTTGAAGCCAATTTAATCAAATTACCTAACACTTACATATCGGTAACAAAATATCTGACCCCTTTTCAAGATTATCTAAATACTGTCAAGGTTGGACTTATGCATATCAGTCGATTAATTTGGCTGCAAGACCAAATTCTCCAAATGTCTGGTACTTTCATTCATTCATTAGTAAAAGTACGGGTGTGCTTTTTAGATCAAAGTCATCAGTCGCAATACATAGTTTAATTTTATGGGGATTATATAATTACCATGTAAACTATTTAAAAAGTGGGGCTTTGAAAATTACGCGCCCAATGGGCTTTATGGAAAATAAGATTCAAAATTTCTTCATTTGGGTTTGGTTAACAAGAAGGCCTTCTTGGAGTTTAATTGCTCAAGTTATCATTGTGTTGATTTTATGAAAACTAAAAAATTGAGGTAATTTTGTTAAGTTAATTTACACAAATCTTGAACTATTCCATGCAGTGTTCATTTATGGCGGTTTAGTATGGAATAAAATAATTGTTTTTACCAAATACTTTTTGCAATGTTTTTTTAAATTTTTTATGCATTTTCTACTAAGAATTAATTGACTGTTTTGTGACCCCGCGAAAATCATCATCACGAGATCGTATGTCGCTGGCAGTTATACCAGCTTTGACCTATTTTGACTTATGGGCGCCCATCGACGTTCTGACTTTTAGACAAGTTTTGCTCGAAGTTTGTCTTGATTATCAATCAATAAGTCTGTTATTATTAGAACAGAAATTTATATTTTTTAATTTTTGTTTTGCTCAATTTCACAGTTGTCTGTTATAGACAATTTAAACTTTGAACTTTTGTAGCAACAAGTGCGAATAATTATGGCTTGATGGAAATATTTGCCTTTTTTTAGGCAAAACTTCAAGTATTCCAAACTACTGAGGTTTAACACCGAGTTAATATTTGAAAATGTCTTTTCTTCTTGACTTATTAGAAATTGAAAAATGCTCTTTTTTCCATTGAATGAAAATATGAGCGAAAAAGTTGAAATAATTATCACTTTTTTGGAAAATTACTGCAGAAAATCGACATTTTAGGAAAACTAATTAATCCGTTTCCAATTTTATGCGACAAATGAACTTTACACACACATAAACAAGTGAACTTTAAATAATTTACAATTACAGAGTAAAGTGAAATTTCCTGAACTACAAGAGTTTGGGAACATTATTTGCAAATTTCTATCGATTTTAATTGAAATAATGTACAATAACAGAACAAAGTGAACGTTCCTAAGAGCGAAAGTTTAGAAACAAAATATGTGCTTTTTTAGTTGAAACCATCAGTATTATTCAGATAGTTTTAGTAGCTTTGAGTAAAAATTAATCAGAATTCAAAGTAAATAAAGTTGTATACGTACTTTTAAAAATCAACAAAAACATATGTTGCTTAGCAACATTTAAAATGTAATTTCCAAGTCCAATATATTTTGTGATAATTTTTTTTTTAATTTATTAAAATTTTCGAAAAAAACCAAGATTTTTTGACTTGAAAAGCAAAAGATATTTTCAAATTTACCATCTGAATGAAAGAAAAAATAAAAAATTGCTAAACTAACAATTAAAAATAAAACAAATTTTTAAAGTGAAAATTATTTTTTGGTTTATAGAGTACTATATGATTTGGCAACGTCCTTTTAAACAGGCAACGCTGTCAGCTCATTTCTTTGACAATTGACAATCCCTCAGTCAGAAACTTGTTTACTTGCAGTAGCTTGCAGAGGTTAAATTAGTTTGCCGTTCATCATTTCCACATTTCTCTATAAATATGGCAAATACCAATACAGATCTGACCGAAGAGGATGCCGCAGATTTGCAGTTTCCTAAAGGTATAACCTCAAATAAGCTTCTTTGCGGTAACAGATTTCTAAATCTTTTAGACTCTCGTCCCCAACTGCCCACCACGATTGCGACCGTTTCGAATAAAAGCGTGGTGTTGGGCTGTTGTTCAAACTGTTTCAATGAACTCGTTTTGCGGTATATAGTCTGTGAAAAGTGTAAAATCAATATCTGCCTGGACTGCTTTGCCAATGGGGCCGAATTTGGCAACCATCAAAACGACCACGAGTACCGGATTTTCAGCACCAACTTCCTACTGTTCGAAAACTCCGACTGGACTGCTGAGGAGGAGCTGAAGTTACTCGAGTCCTTGCTGTTTTACGGCAATTGGAGGCTGGTAGCTTCAGACTTTCCGAACAGAACTATCGAAGAAATCAAGGAGCATTATGAGTACTTTTACTTGGATGGCAATGCCAATAAAAACCTGCCAGTGTGTAAGAAAGAACTAGTCATTCCAGAAGTGGCAATTCCATATAGATTCCAGTTAACCGACTCCGAAGAGCCTCCTCGTTACGCTTGCAATACTATCGGCTACCAGTCTTTGGCCGGCTACAACGCGCCTAGGGGGGACTTTGAAAACGAATACGACAAAAACGCCGAAGATCTACCAGCCTCGCTTGAGCCAATAGATCCGGAGGATCCGTACTATGATATCTTGACAAACTTGCAGTATGCAATCACACAGAGCTACAACAACAGGCTGCGGGAGAGGCAACGAAGAAAAGAAGTTATCGCAAAGCATGGCTTGCTGCTGCTGAGGAAAACCATCGCCTGGCTGCACAGGTACGACCAAACAATCACAAAGCCAGTCTACGAAAAATTCATGAGGTTCATGCACTTGTGCGAACCAACTAAGTTTGAGATGTTAATGGAGGGAATGCACAGGACTGGCGAACTGAAAATCCACATTCAAAGGTACGTAAAAGGCAAGGGTCTTTGTGTACTAAAGAGAACTTATAAGCTGAAAAATGGGGTAGCGATTGCAGATGCAAAAAGTTCACCATGTATAGTTGCCACCAAACAGTGTCACTACTATTGTTCGGTTCAATGTGTTAAAGTCAAATAACGGCAATGTCCAGCAAAAGGGAGAAATTTCGCAGAAAATTGCCCTTGTTGACGCTCCTCACCTACACTTTCATATTTCACATTGGACTTTTCATGAGCGGCCCTAAAAAGTGGCTGTTGCTTCCAACTGAGGAGGAAAAGGTACTCAAGTATCCCCCCAGCAGGCAGTCGAAATAAATCGCCTTAATAATCTTCAGCTTACCAAGTTCCTCTTTATGTATGCCTATGAGATAACAGTTGCTATCAGAAAATACCACCCAAATATTTCTTTTCTAGACTGATAAGTTTAAGAAAGAAAGGAATCACCACATTGGCAGAAGGAAGAATGTACCTACACTTAGAGCAAATCCGCCAGGAGCACAAGAAACAACTGAAAGTCTTTCGGTCAAAGCCCCACTATAATTGGAGAAGTATAAAGGCATCCTCGGGAGTGGCGGAAATCCCGAAATGGTCGCGAAAAAAGTCTTTTGTTACTCCACTGGATATTATTGGATTGCCCGGTTATGATAAGTTGTCTGAAAAAGAGAAAGAAATGTGCTCCAATGTGAGGTTGGTTCCTGAAAGTTACGTGGGACTAAGAGACATTTTAATTGCGGAAAATACCAAGTCGGGTCATGTGAAATTGCAACGCGCTCGAAGCCTGTTGAAAATCGACGTAAATAAAACGCGAAAGTTGTACGATTTTCTGGTGTCCGAAGGCTATATTAACAAATAAGTTTATTCAATCGACTTGTTTTTATGTATCATTGCATGTAAATTATAGGGCGTTGCTTAGATGAGCAAAAAGTGATTTTTAGTGCCTAATATATGCTAAATAGGAATCTGTAAATATTTCACATTTTATAGTTAGTTTTTTGATAAAGCCATCATCCTGCTTTGCCTTTCTTTTAAGAATTTGAAAATGCCGAGACGCTTTTAATTTCCGAAGTTCACATGCTGTTGGAGCACCGGAAGGCTCAGAATGAGTCTGCGGAAGACGAGCAGGAATTTTCCGATGTGTTTATGAAAACTCTCACCTACACGGACAGATTTCGCAAGTTCAAGAACAAAGAGACCATATCCTCAGTGCGGAAGTAAGTTCATCCTTGGGGAGTTTTTACTTAGTTTACCAAATTTGCATTTTCGCCGATAAATGCTGTATTTATCTATTCGATGCCGCTTGAATTGCGATTTCTAGCAGCTTATTGTTTGCTTTCAGTTTACTGAACCAGAAGAAACTGCACAAGTTTGAACTGGCTGCGATCGCAAACTTGTGTCCGGAGACGGCCGAAGAAGCAAAATCGCTGATTCCGTCCCTGGAGGGCCGTTTTGAGGAAGACGAGCTTCAATCAGTGTTGGACGATATTCAAACCAAGAGAAGTATTCAATATTGAAAAGTTGCTCAAATCCATACCAGTTTAAGAAAATTTGTTTTAATATAAATCAGTCTCAGATGGGGGGTTTTCTGTTGCTGTTCATCCGGAACCGAATACCACCTGTCCTGTTCACCATCATTACAAGCCCTTTCCTGTGTTTATCTAGTTTTAAGCAGAAATGTGGCCGCTTTTTCGGGAAGCAAAATGAACTATTTTTGCCCTTCGAGTTTGTGGTAAGCCGGTAAATAATTCAAAGGCACAACACGATTAGTATTCTGTTTGATAACATCAGCATGCTTAAACTGTTGTAAAAACGAATATACATAAGTGGGTTGGATCGATACCGGTGGCTTTGAACAGCAACAGTTCGGTTATTATGCGAACTGGAACATGTAGCACGATTTTGTCGCCTGTCCGGGGAATAAAATTACATATACAGTTAAAAATTTTCAGTAATATCCTTTGCTCTCAAGGGGGATAATTACGATTTTTCCTGGCAAACCAACACCTCAAGAGCGCTTTGATAAATGTTTACTCTGCCAAAAGCGGTTGTGGCGATTTAAATTTAGTCCCCCCGATAATTATAGATAGGAATAATGTTTTCATTGAACATCGGAATCAAATCTGGACCGATACGTATTTATACGTCTCGTGCTCTGTTGAAGGATCAGTGTGCGGAGAAACAGGCAAAGTGTTTGATCCGTTTATGATAATAGCTTCGATCTAGAAGCCCGAAAAGTGGAAATTTTTAATGTATAGGGTGGTTGATTTTCGACTTGAGAGGCTGGCAAAGTTCTGATCTTTCCATTATAGTCCTCTGTTCTTACTCTATGTCTACTGTATGTCTCGGTATGCTTTATTTTAATCAATTGAATTGGTAGCCGAAAGAATTTTGGTCTTGAGCCGCAAGAAGTTTGGAATATTTTTTGTATCTTTGCATCTTAATGGAAATGTTGTGAGCTCAGCAACCTTTGGTCGTTGGAAGCAGATATCTGAAAAGTTCTGATTTCCATTTTTGAAAAATTATTGCGGTGAGTTGGCGGCCGCTGCTCGTATCATTTTGCCAGTGAAAGCACTGAAGATTTTTGTTAATTTTTTCGCTGTTTTGATTGAAAATAATGATAGTGTTACTGATTTTTGCGAGATTCCGACGCCGATCGCGCGACGAATCGAACCGAATGGACGCGTCTTGACGTCGGCGCCACACGCTACAAATCCAGTGTGTTTAGCGCGTCTTTGTAGCGAGGACGGACGTTCGCGTTTCGCACGAATCACAAAATCTACGCAGATTTGCCGATTTTAAATTGCAAAAATTGAACCCAAAGTATTTTTTATCATGAATGAAAATCTATCGATCTAATCGAGTCGCATGTTTATTTGTTTGGTACATTTCGACGCGCCGTTGGGAACATTTCGCTTGCTGTTTCAAACAGCGCTAAGTCCTAGGAAAACAGTGTTTTTTTTGGGTGATCATTCGACGAAATGGTTCCAAACCAGCTGATTTAAGTCGGTTGAAAATTTCGTTCAAATCGCGCTCTTGCTGCCGACATTTCTAAAGACGAGGAGGAATTTACATTGGATCTATTCGAAGGAATCAGCTTCTAGCTATTGGGTAAGTGGCATCGGAAAAGTTTTGATTTATTTTTAAACTGCAACATTTGATTCCGGTTAAAGGAGTCAGCAAGTCTGTAGTTGTTTACTGTTGATTTTTATTATCATGACTAGACTTCTGTTTTTGTGTCCCGTAAGCAGATGATCAAAACTGCGCTATTCTTTGGGTCAAAAGACGACGATCTATTTTTATTAAGAAAAACTGTCTGGCTTCTGCTATTGATTGGTCAAAATTCTTCAGAAAATTTTGTTTTTTGAAACATCTCGCTGTGAATTTGTTCCTATGTAAGACTCCAGTTTGGAGGAAAGCAGAAATATTTTTTTGCGCAAAAACTGAATGCTACAAGATTTTACAACGAGCCCAAAAATGTTCAAAAATGATTAGTGCATCAACTCAAAAAAGCTCAGTTGATTCCAGCTGCCAAGTAAAAAGTTTTTGTATCAAGAATTCACCACTTGTCCAAGGCGGATAAACCAACACTTGTGTTGGACAAACTCGGTTGCTTCATTAAAACACGGGTCTTACAGAGGCACAAATTCACAGTGAATTTCATTCAATTCCTTAAAAAACAATTTTTGTTGAAGAACTTGGCCGATCAATGGCAGGTCATATGGTTTTAATTTGAGCCAAAGGATGTCTCAGTGGCCGTTTGATCATGTGCTTGGACTGCACTGGACACCCCTGTATGTAACTATCATTTATTTTTCCTCGTACCTACAGCCTCTAGTTTTCTGTTGATTTTCAAATAAAATGTTTTTTTCTTGTCACTCACTGATGATTTGAATTTATATTGTGTGCCCCTCTTCAATTGTTCAGCTGCCTTTCACTCCAGGTTAGTGCTTTTGTGTATTGAAGGCGCAGGAATTATAAGGATTATTTCAAGTGAACTGAATTGAAAATTTTACGCATTTGTTTTAATTTTTTTTATTTCAAGCGTTTTTCTTTCTATTCAACGCAACACGGAAGTCGCAAGTGGATATACTAATTAACGAATCGATGAATTATAAAATCCAATTTTCGTTTTTATCTCAAAATCAATGCTTATAAGGTTGCTAAGGCCTGCTGATTGTTTTCGAGTAAATGTTTCAAGAATGCAACAGCAATCTGTCGGGACTCCTTATACTGTGAGCGGTTTAAAAATGTTCATTTATTGCTCTTTTCTGGTTTGATTTTTAACTTTGAAAATTGGCTTTTCTGGAACATGCTGGAAGCTGGTTTGTTGATATAGAGAAAAATGTGTATTTATCCGACTTCTCACAAGAAGAGCAAAAGCCAAAAACACCTAGAAAGTAATGATCGTTTATTTTACAATTTGTGGCAAGTCCAACGTAAGGCTTGGGTATTTGTACGCGTTTGTGTCCTGAAGTAAGCATTTTGAAAATGTATAGAGTATATATTTTTTTTATTTTGTCACAACTTCGGAAGAATAATAGTTTTTTTTCAATTAAAAATATATTTTTGAATTCTTAACACAATACAAACAAAACATCAAAAAAACTTCTAAATCCAAACCAGACCAAAACTGAATCTTTTTGGAAGAAAATCAGAGAATGAAGATTGAAATGAAAAATTGGCATTTTGAATGGGGGATTGAAGAAGTGCAGACTAAAATTCTGCATTTTTAGCCCTTTCCAGCTTTGAGGCTTCGCCTTTTAAAGAATACTTGCAGCAAAAGCGAGCGAATAAACGTCCGTTAGGACGACTATTCTACGGTTTTAAGCCCGGAAACAGTTCGAAACCACAATGAACATTCGTTAGTATAAACAGCTGTTATAGTTCTAATAAAGTCTGAAAAATTAGAGCAAACAAACCATTATGAGATTGGAAGATGTTCATCATATGAATTGGAAATTTTACTAGCTACTTCCCTCGTGTGGCGTTATCAGCTTTGCCATTAACGAAACTAGGTAAACGACTTGAAGATAATTTCGTGTAAATAAGGTCGTTGAATGTGTTTCCATAATATCTCACAATTTTCTCCAATCTATCATATCAGTTGATGCGAAACAGTTTGAAAATGGAAATTTCCTTTCCATGTGTTCCTTGCTCGTCACACTTAACGACCCATTTGCATATTGAGAAAATGCCGGGTATTTATTAAAATAGATTTGCATATCCTGAATGGACTCAAAGTGCAAAACGTTGAAATTTTTCAGTAGCAACCATCAAAAATCCCCACTAAATTGCATTTATTTATATCAACAAATTATAGATTCTCTCCATGTGTTTACTATGAAATTATCACCGCTGGCTTAAATCTATTACCCAACAAAACTATTGTTTACAGTCCAAAGAAAAATGTGTTTAATCTAACTAGGACTGTCCTATCAACTAGAAGATTTTATTTTAATTTGTTCTAATCGTTTACTTTGGTGTTAGAGGCATTCGGAAAACACTTAGAAACGGCTTGAACTGGAACAGAACTACGGTTGATAACCATAGGCAAATAATTTGCAATTCCAAGCAGCAGCAAAGCCCAATAACAAGAATTGGCATGCAAATGAAATGCAAATCTACTGCATATAAAAATAGCAGTTTTTCAAACTTTGCAGCAAATATGTCTAGGCAAAGTGTGACTAATGCCTAATCCCTAATCTAACCGCTAAGCATTCGCTAAAGGATCTTTTAAACTGGAAATGCGGGGAGAAAACTCATAAAAACACCGACGCCCACAATATAGTCTAAATTAAATTAAAAATCCCTTGCCAGGTAGTCCGGAATTAAATTTAACAATGTCACATGGGCAACGTTAATAAAAGGCCCCTGGAAGAAACGATGTTGCAGTCGAAATTGCTTAGAGAATCTTTTGCTTGACGTTATTAAGCAAATTAAAAATGCTTTATGGGCGATTTTCCTGAAAACAAACATATCTATTCAAATACCTACTTAGTTTAAAAACAAAAAAAGG